ATTAGAGACCAGGGTGTGCCTGGCACATATTGCAAGGGCCACATAATGGCAGTTGTTGCTGTTTAAAACTATTTAAAACTTTGAAACAGAAGGGCTGGGTTGGTAGAGTGCTTGCCTGATATGCACAAAGCCCTGGGTTCCATCTCCAGGACAGAATAATTATGGCAGTGTACACCTAAAATCCCAGCACTTGGATGGTTAGAAGAACCTTAAGGCTTTTCTGTGCTAAATAGTGAATCAGAGGCCATCCTGGCATGCTTAAGACTCTGTCTTGAAAAACAAACTATTGTGGTGGCACATGCTTTTGATCCCAGCACTCAGGGAGGCAGAGGCAGGCAGATTGCTGAGAGTTCAAGGTCAGCCTGGTCTACAAAGTGAGTTCAAAACAGCCAAGGCTACACAGAAAAACCCTGTTTCAAAAACAAACAAACAAACAAAAAACTGAGAGGGTTGGAGAGATGGCTCTTCCGAAGTTCAATTCCCAGCAACCACAACCATCTATAATAGGATCTGGTGCCCCTTTTTTCCTGCAGACAGAATACTGTATAAATACTAAATTAAAAAAAGAAAGACAAACAAACTAAAACAAAATGACCCAGAGACTCAGGCTGACCTGAAGCTGTGGCTTCAACTCCTCAGAGCTTGTGAGTTTGAGAACGTTATTTACCTTCACTGAGTTGTGGGTCACCATCTGTGATGTGGCTAGAATGTACCTTCTCATGGAGTATATAGACCACAGTGCCTGGATCATGGTCGGGTTGGTTCAATATTTTTCCTGAAGTTTCTAGCCAGAGAAAATGAGCAGGTAAGTGGTAGGAAAAGCTGCTATGTTTGGGACTCCCTGGGTAATTGTCGAGCTTTTTGGCAAGGGGTGGCAAATAGTAGGTTTGGAGCTTGAACAAGAGTGGGTAAGGGAATGAGTGCGAAGGATCTGCTTATCCGTCTAGACAGTGGCTGAGGGTCAGGAAGTGAGGCGTAAAGCCGGCAGTAGTCACCAGGAAGAACCAGGGACTAAGAAGAATGGGGTGAACAGCAAACAGCAAAACAATAGGCAACACCTGCCCCTGTTTGACTGCAGGAGTAATTAAGGTAACGCTAGCTCATGGGATCACATGACCCTCAAACCTCAGAGGCTTACAAATGATGTCCTGCTGGGTGTTTGACAGGTGGCTTCCTATGGAATGAGCCAAGGACTGAAAGCCTTTGTGGTTTGGCATCCTCTTGGCCCCTGGAGTTACCTTCTTCCAGTTGACAGGCAGGGAAGGAAGGAAGCAGTTCCTTCTGGGAAGAAGTCACTGATTGCTCCAAAGCGACACATTCTGTCTTAATTCTACTGGACAGAACTTGACCACATGACCCTATCTGACCCTCTATGACCCTATCCGGCATACGTATTCAGGAGCACAGCTTTTTTCACCTTTCTGGTGGTAACAGGCACCACTGGCACCCCATTCTACAGAAAAGAAAACAGACTTGGGGTGAAGAGGGATGAAGTCACTGGTGTAAGGTGACAAAGCCCACCTACGAGGAGGCTTGGCCAAAATTAGCGTCATGGTGGTCACTTGCTGTCAGTTCATTTTGTTGCTATATGGAATACACAAGACTGGAGAGTTTTTTTCCTTTATTTTTGTTTTACGTGTATGAGTGTTTGCCTGCATATATGTATGTGTATTACGTTTGTGCCTGGTGCCCACAGAGGCCAGAAGAGGGTGTCAAACTACGCTACCCTGTGAGTGCTGGAAACAGAGCCCAGGCCCCCTGCAAGAGCCTCAAGTGCTCTGAACCACTGAGCCACTTCTCCGGTCCTAAGACGAGATAATTTACAAATGAAGAAGTTCATTAACTCAGGATGCTGAAGGATAGGCCATCAGTGGGTGACCATATCTGGCAAGGGGCTTGGGCTAATAAAGCTGTGGGAAGACAGAAGACAAACTTAACAGGAGTGCAGAGGGCTGGGCTCAGCCTTTAACAGCCACTTAAAAAGTTTTTACATGTGCATGTGTCTGTGCGGTGTGTACATGTGTATTCACATATGTGTGGGTACACATGTTTGCATTAGGGGTTGATGTCAGATGTGTTCCTCGGGTACTTTTCACTTAATTTACTGAGGCAGGGTCTCCTGCTGAGCCAAGGTCAGGAGTCAGCTGCTCTAGCTATACAGTTTGATCTGAGGAGCCCCTCTCTGCATCCCGGTGCTGGAGTTACAGGTGGGTGGGCATACCTACTGTTTTAGTCAGGCTTACTATTGCTGTTGTGAAACAACACGACCAAAGCAACTACGGGAGAAAAGGGTTTATTTGGCTTATACTTCCACATCGTGGTCATCAATGAAGGAAGTCAGGACAGGAACTCAAGCAGAGCTGGAACCTGGAGGCAGCTGATGCAGAAGTCATGGAGGAGTGCTGCTTACTGGCTTGCTCATGGCTTGCTCAACCTGCTTTTGTTTGTTTGTTTTGTTTTGTTTTTTGAGACAGGGTTTCTCTGTGTAGCCTTGGCTGTCCTGGAATTCACTATGTAGACCAGGCTGGCCTCGAACTCAGAGATCCACCTGCCTCTGCTTCCCAAGCACTGGGACTAAAGGTATACGCCATCACAGCCTGGCTCAGCCTGCTTTCTTATAGACCCCAGGACCACCAACCCAGGGATAGCACCACCCACAATGGTCTGGGCCTCCCCCATCAATCACTAATTAAGAAAATGCCCTACAGCCAGATCCTATGGAGGCATCTTCTCAACCGAGATTTCCTCTTTTCAGATAATTCTAGCTTGTGTCATAAAACTAGCTAGCAAACCTACCCTGTATTCACATGTGCCCGGGATCAGATCCTCAGTCCTCATGCTTTTGTGGTAAGTGATTTGCCTACTGATTTTGTTAATGCTTGATTAGATTTATGTTATGTTATGTGCCTGTGAGTTTTGTTTGCATCCATGTCTGCATGCCTGGTGCCTGCAGAGATCAGAAGAAAGCATCATATTCCCCTGGAACTGTAGTTATTGGTGGATTCTGGGAATCGAACCCAGCCCCTCTGGAAGAGTAGCCAGTGTTCTTAACGGTGCGGTGCTGTCTTTCTTAATGCAGTCCATATTGTCCTTAAACACAAGATTCTTCTTTCATTGCTTCCAAAGTGCTGAGATTACAGACCTGAACCACCACACCTTCAAGCCACACTGATATAAGTAAACTACAGTACTGAGTCAGGCTTTAATCCCTCTGACCTAATCCCCTCTTAAAGGGCCCGTCACCTCTGAACTCTTTCATTGGGGACCATATTTCACCATGAGTTTGGGAAGGGGCAGACCACATTAGAACCCCAGTAGGTAATGCTGTAGCAATCAGATTCCCATGAGGAATTTGGCTGGTGGAGCCCTCCCTGCCTCCCTCCCTTTCTTTCTTCCTACCCTCTTGAGGCTTGGAAGGAAGCTGCAGAGAGCAAAGCAGTGCACACTCACAGGGTTTAGCAACACTGGTGAGCTTGGTATTTCCCAGCATCCAGGGTCTAGCCTCCTGCCCCTTCGAGTTGATCTTTCGGACACTGGCTGTGGGAGACAAAATGATTCTGTTCCACTCTCCAAGCCCATCTGTGATCTCATCTGTGCTGAGCTGGGCACCTAGGGGCTGGACATCATGGCCCAGGGTGATTGAGGCTCTCCCTGGCCTGGTGTTGCATCCTGGAGGAGCGCTGTGGAGACTCTTTGGAAGAAGGGCAGTGCTGAGTGGCAGCTCTCTGGTCATGGGTTTAGATTTACTGGAAATCTGGATAGTTGGCCATAGCATCTTGGTGGCACTTACCTTCTTGGCCGGGTGTACCTTGTTTCCTGCATTTCCATTTGTGGGATGGATTCCTTAGTTGGGAAGGAGAGATCCAGTCTGGACTGATGTACATTTATTCAGTACCTGTTGTATCCCTGGGTCTGACCTGGATATAGCATCAGGTCTTGAAGAGCAAGAGGCCTAGCCTTCCTCTTTAGGCATTCTGGGGAGGCTGTTTGGCCTAAGAGTGGGGGTGAACCTCAGGCTTAGCGTTCTCTACAACTCTCACCTTGCGTAGGTGAGACCTCCCCACCCCTCTGAGCCTCATTTTGCTCATCTGGAAATGGGCTGATATGAGGATTTGGTGAGCTCAGGTGGACATGCTCAAGAACCAAGGGACCTGGAGAGCAGGAGCAGGTAGTGCTAATAGAAGCTTCGGTGAGCTCACCCTTGCTCTGTGTGCTTTCGAACCCCTCCTGCTTTCAGCACATTTTAATTCCCATGAAGACTCCCATGAGGAAGCTGAGGCCCAGAGAGGTAATTTGTCCAGGGTCACACTGCTAACACATGCCAGGCCCTTACCAGTGTGCCTCAAAGCCTCCTTGCTGCACGGAGGGAAACAGTTCTTGAACTCTGGGGCCCAGGGACTGTGCACATTGTGCTTTCTAGTGAGTGAAAACAGTGTTTACCTACTTTTCACTCTGAACTGGCACTCTGTTGTGTGCTGTTGACAGGCAGGGCAGACGCTTTGCTCCCAGACAGCTCAAGGGAGCACCAGTAGTACCAGCTCTTACACAGGAGGATGCTGGGACACAGCTGGGGGTGGGGTTTGGAGGGACTCAATCCCTAGCCCTGTCAGAGCTTCCTTTGCTTCCAACCTGTAGGGCATGTGGATGCATTCTGAGCAAACCACGTGAGCCCGTCCGTTCTGGGTCAGGGAAGATACTCCATTGACTGGGGACTCTGGCCTTTCCCGCCTCTGGCAGCTGGGCTGGAAGTCTTCAGGACCCACAGGCTGGGGAGGGTGGAAGGTGGGGGGGAATCTGTCCCCTCCCTTTTTACCTTCCACTCACATTCCCTGCTTTGCCCTCCTCTGCTGTCTTTGCTCCTTGGTGCTGGCTGGACCCCAGAGCTTCTGCCAACCCTTCACATTGAGAAGCATCTCTGCTTCTCAATGCTCTCCCCACCCCTCTCCCATCGGAACCCCTCCCCACTCCCTGCATGGTCACGTGGGGGCACCACCGGATTTAAGCTTAATCTGCTGGGCGCTCAGCCCAGCAGCCTGGCGTTGTTGGTGTGTTAGTGCATTGTCGCATGTAGCTGAGCCGGACTTCGTGCTTTGGGGAGGGGGGCTGCGGGGTATCCACAGACCCCCCTCCATGAGCCGAGGGCCGGCAGAATCCCTGCAGGCCCAGCTGGCATTGGAGATTGTGAACCAGGTGGGTCCTGAGGGCTATGTCTACCCTGTTTGGGGCAGGGCAGATCAGGATAACTGACCCAATAGGAGTGGTGAGGGTGGGTTAGTGGAGGGAGGGGTGGGGTAGGTATATTTATTGGCCTGCAATCCACAGCTCCAGGGGGCCACACAGGCCAACTGCTAAGACTCCCTAATCCCAGTGTGCGGCAGGGGGGGAAGGGCCCCTCCTTTAGGGATTACTAGCCTCAGCACAGCAAGGTCCTCCCCCACTATGGTGGGAGATGGACTGGAGCGCTACCCATCCCCCTACCCCATCTCCTAACCCCCAGCCTGGGCTGTCTCTGTGTGGCTCCTGAGTTACTGTGGCTTTGATTTACTTCTCCGCCCTTCATGCCCTGCCGGGGCCACAGACCCAGGGGAGACTCTTAGCCAGGCCTCTTTGCAGTTTACCTTCCAGACAACGGGGCTCCTGAGTTCTCTAGGGCTTGCCCAGCTCTCAGGCCAAGAAGCCAGGGGTCTAGAGTCCCTGAAAACTCTCTTCTCACAGACACTGGAGAGCTGTGTCCTGGGACCGGACCAAGAGAAGAGCCTGAGTGTGCAGAACCCAGCCCAGGACCCCCAGGGTGCCAGCCAGCCTGCCTGTGTCAGGGAGATCATCACCCGCAACCTCTCCCAGCCTGAGAGCCCAGGTGCCACCTCCCTATCCTGTCCAGGGTTCCCTCTCCCTTCTCGGCAGCAATAGACAAAGATAGTGCTGAGCAGTGCTGTGTGTGTGTGTGTGTGTGTGTGTGTGTGTTTGGACATATATATACCACAGCATGTATGTGCAAGCAAGTCCCTCTGATTCTCTTGTCTGTTCCCCGCTTAGCTTTTAGGTTACAGGTGCCTGGAGGTCCATGCCCAGCTTCTTCCATGGGTGCTGGGATTTGAACTTAGGTACTCATGTTTTTGTAGGAAGTGTTCTTTATGTATGCACTGAGCCATGTCCCCAGCCCCAGTACACACAGGGAGACAGGAGATGGCGGGAGTCTACCGTTTGTTTGTTTGTTTGTTTGTTTGTTGAGACAGGGTTTCGCTGGGTAGCCTTGGCTGTCCTGTACTTACTTTGTAGATTAGGCTGGCCTCAAACTCACAGAGATCCGCCTGCCTCAGCCTCTTAAGATTACAGGCACGTACCACCATGCCCAGCTGAAGGGAATCTACTTTACGGAGGAGAAAATGGATGCTGAGATGCAGTTTGCCTATGTTTCTTTTATTTATTCCCCATGTGGCACAGCTGGAGGGGAGGGTGGTGCAAACCCTCCCTCCTCACTGTTTCAGATTAGAATACCAAATACTACATTTCCTACCAGGATGGTGTGAGCTGTTTGAGACTAAGATTAGGGGTGGGGGTGGGGTCCCGGCAAAGGCTTGATGATTTAGGCACAAAAGCTGATGGCTGCAGGCCCTGGTGTGTGGCATGCATGACCTGGTTATGCAGCCTGAGTGTCTGCACATGAGGTCGGCTGGTTGGGGGGGTGGAGTGCTGGCAGCTGTTCTGCTTCTGCTCTTTGTTTGGATGCTGCAGTCTCTTTTCTCTTTGAGTTGGGCCAGGGATGCTGAGAGTCCCCAGAGCGGGGGGGGGTGGTGGTGTGTGGTGTGTTAATGACCTTCTCTCCCCTCTCCTCCATGGCTAGAAGGCTGCAGTGTGTACCCATCTTCTTCAGGGTCAGTATGCAAGCCAACCACCACTGTCTTTGTTAAGATTATTTTTTTTTTTGAGACAGGGTTTCTTTGTGTAGCCCTGGCTATCCTGGACTTGCTTTGTATACCAGGCTGGCCTCGAATTCACAGAGATCCCCTTGCCTCTGCCTCTCAGAGTGCTGGGATAATAGGCGTGTACTACCACACCCCGGTACTGTCTTAAGCCCTGGTTTTTGAGGTGTTGGGAGAACTGGGTGTGATGGTGCTTGCCTGAAATCTCAGCACTTGGGGGGCCGCCGAGGGGATCATGAGTTCCATACCAGCTCAGGCAATGTAGGGTGATCAATCTTACCTCAAAAAACCAAAACAAGGAAACAAAGCGAAGTTATGAGAAGCCCTGCCCTAGAGTAAGGCTTTACCATTTTCCTGGTGAGGCCTGATTACTGTTTCACCATTTAACAGATGAGTAAAGTTGAGGCCCTGAGAAGAATAGTCCTCAGAAAAGGAAGGAACAGAATTCAGAGCTTTGTGTCCCCAGGGTGGGACATTCTCTAGACTCCTGCCTAAAGCCTCCCTCCTGCATGTTCTGTGGATGTGGCCACACCAGCTGAAGTTGTTTCTACATAAATCTCTCTTGGCCTCTCCCACCAACCTTCCTGTTCCTCGGCTTTTTTGGCCACACTCAGTCAGACTTCTCAGAGGGTCCCTCTCCAGTGTCTTGTCCCAGAAATAAGTAGAACTCCTTCAGGGGCTATCTCCACCCTAGGCAGAAGTCAGCCTCAGCCCCTTGTCCCTTGTCAGCCCCACTCCAGGTCCCAAAGATGGCCTCGCTACTGTCACTGCAGGAGGAGAACCAGCTGCTTCAGCAGGAGCTGTCACGTGTAGAGGACCTGCTGGCCCAGAGTCGTGCGGAGCGAGATGAGCTTGCAATCAAGTACAATGCTGTCAGTGAGAGGGTGAGTGCTGCTGGGGCTGGGCTTGGGTCAGGTAGGGCAATCCCTGACCAGGCCCACAGACCATGTAAGGATGGGCACCTGCTTTATACTGCAGTTTTGCCAACCGGAATGGCCTCGAGCTCATGGTGACCTTGGGGAGTTGGTGGTTGAAGGTTGATAAGACTTAGGTGAAGGATGGAGTGTGTGTGTGCAGATGGTTGGGGAAATTAGTCATAATAGTAGCTAGCTAGCATGTATGGAATGCCTACACTGTGCCTAAAATATACTGAGTTTTGTATATTTAATATACCAAAATTGGTAATACCCGTTTAATCAAGGAGAAAATAGAGGCCCAGAGAGACAAAGCACCATGCTTGGTGTCACACAGCCAGTGAAGACAAGAATTCTGGTGTCTGCTCCAAGGCCAGGGCTGTGTGTTGCCCTGGTTTGGGGAGCGGGCAGAGAGCCTGCTGGCTGCTGTAGTGCTACTGGGAGGCCGTGTCTGTATGGAGGCTTGTGTATTGTACTGTGTTTCTTTGCACCCTCTGGTGGTGGGGTGTGCCCATGTCCTGGTCTGCCCGCTCAGACAAGCCTCTGACTTGTTAGGGCTTGCTAAGGAGCAGACACCTTAAGGACACTACAGAATTCTTTTCTTAGAGTCTGCAGGGGGTAGAAAGACAGGATAGCAGGAGTACTGGGTTGGTACTATTAATGGGCCAGAACCAGCCTGCTGGTTAGTTAGACCCTTCTTGGCCCAAGACACAGTGCCAGTCCCCTGGGGACTGCCTTTTAGGTGCCAGCTCCAGCAACTGAAGCTCACATGACCCCCTGATTGACAAGGAGGGGAAGGATAGGTGGGAGGTCCCTTTTCTTCTGTGTGGTCTGGGGGCCAGAGGTGCTGTGTCCATTCAGATCTTCCCCTCATATGTTGGCACAAATAGCCTGGTCTTCTAAGTGTTATGTGCCTGAAACAGTTTGGGTGAGACCCTACCTGGAGGTTGGATGAAAATTATATTGAAGACCTTTCCTGGAAGGGGAGGGTCTACAGAGAGCACAAGAATCTAGCAATTGCCTTATAGCAGATGGAGAAACTGAGGCCCAAAGAGGAGCATGCTAGGCCCAAGGTCAGCGGTGGAGCTGGACAGAGACTGCTGGTCTAGGGCTATGGTTGTACGACACATTCCCTGATACTGCAGCCTGTGCCTGCAGGTGACAGGTGCCCTGTGGCCACTCTGGCATGGAAGACAGGTTGGGGCAATTAATGAGGTTGTTCTCATCCTTAAAACCGTGCATCCCTCTAGGATGCATAGTGGAACAAGAGTCAGGATTCGTGCTCTGTTCATTTCATGTCTTGTGGAAAGACTGAGGCTGAACTCCCAGAGGACAACTTTCAGGTCATAGTATACCTCAGTGTCCCCAAGAAACAGGTGTGAGGTGAGGTAGGTGGGAAAGAGGCAGTGGCCTTACTCCCTGGCTCTAGAGAATAGACTCCCCGAGTTCTCCTGGTGTCCATAGCAACCGGGTTTAGTGAGCTTAATGGAGCTGGAGAGCAGCAGTTGCTAAGGGAGACTGTAAACTGCTTTCATCCATCCTTGTGGCAGCCCCCTTCCTGTTGGAATTGCAAGTCAAATTGAAAGGCTGTTTGTAGAGGGCAGAGTTTGTGGAGAGAGGTGAGCCTGGCATGAGCACTGGGGAAATGGGTGGTGTCCCTGGTAACCGACCAGCCCCCCCCCACCACAGAAGACATTACACCAGAGTCACACATATGTGCAGAGAACACACAGGCCACAACTAGACCCCACATAGAACACAACACATAGAAACAAACCAACCTGGCCGTATGGTGGTGACACATGCCGCCTTTCACACTGGATGGCAGAGGCAGGGAGATCTCTGAGTTCAAGGCCATCCTGGTCTACAGAGTGAGTTCCAGGACAGCCAGGACTTGGATACACTCAGACTCACAGACAGCACACAGTCCTGCCCTGACACAGCAGAACCTAGGTCACAGCACAGCACTGTCACAGCCCCGCCACATACAGTAACCAACCTCAGCACCAACTCCATCCCCTGGCTGTGCACAGACAGCAAAAGGACGGTGGCCAGCAAGAGCCATGTGTTGGCCCATAAAGACTCTCACACATGTGTGAGAGCCGTCCCTACCACCACCGGTGACCCCAGGAGCCCAGACTGTCTCCCCTCCCCCGCCAGCTTATGTCATTCCCACACCTCTGGCATATGTAGATACACAAGCACATGTCCTGGTACAGACAGAAGGACATAATGCCTGCACCACCCTATAGACCACGTTCAGACACACCTTACCCTGGAGCACGAGAAGGTCCAGACGCTAAATGCCAGCACGCACCCAGCGCGTCTGAGGCATTCCCCTGTGCAAGGCATACTCACTGATGCTTGCTACACACACATTTGAGGACTGTTCGACAGATGTGGACACTGCCTGTGTCTCTGCTTGCTTGGGCTCTGTGTAGACATTTGCCATAGACTCAGAAAGTTCCCGTTGCCACCTCCCTTAGTGGCCTGAGCCTTTGTCCTTCAGCTCACAGTGCAGACCCATGTGGCTGTGTTGACTGCTCCCTGTTGGTGTCATCCCAGGAGATACAGTCACCCTACCCACCAGCATTGCTGTGGGTGGTTCTCAGCATCCACCAGGTGTACTGGGCTAGTGCAGGTCTGGAGGGCCACTGACCCTGCCTGGACCCCAGGTTAGTGTGGGTAAGAAAGGCCTCCTCTCCTGCTGGCCTTCCTGTGGTGGCCCTAACTTTTGTGTGTGTGTTTGAGGGCCCTGCTTGTCAGCCCAGGTACTGGGACATGGATTGTAAGTGTGGGTTGGCATCAGCCAGCTAGGCTGGGATCACCCATTGGTTGTCCCCAGTCCCCATTGTGCGTTTATGATCCTAAGTGTGCTCATCCTTGGCCCTTCTGCCCTCAGCCCCTTTCCCTGACAGCTAGAAGCTGAAAGACCCCAGAAAGAGTAGCCAAGACTATCAGGCATCTGAATGGGGTTGAGAGGGCTAGTGGGCAGGCCTCCTGTGTGCCCATGGGGTCCAAGGGTGGCACACTACACAATATCTGGAGTGAAGGAAACTGGACAGGGGAGGGTCCTGTAAGGTGAGGGGGGAGATGGAGGTGGGAGGGGACAAATTCTAGGTGGGGTACATAAGATCTTGGGGCTCATCTGCATCACCCTGGGATGTTTGGGACTGCCTGTATATGTTACTGGTGCCTCTGTAAGCTCAGACTTTATGCATATTGACACCTCCGTTCTCAATAGATTCACGTGCGCTCACTTTAATTCAGCAGTCTCAAATATCCCCTGGGTATGAGCCATGCCACCTCACAGCAATGTCCTAGGTACTAAAATTCAAAGGAGGACAAAAGTCCAGGCTTTCGTGAGCTTGCCTTGGGGAAGAAAGAGGGTTGGGGAGTCATGGCAGCATGGCAGCAGTCTGAGGCATAAACCATAGTGCGCAGGCTCAGTGTTCTGAAGGCGTGGCAGATGCTCGAAGGGCCTGGGTACTTCTGCAGTCCGACTGCAGGTGCATATGGTTGCAGACATGTGGCAGGCCTACCTGCACATGTACATGCCTGTCTCTTCTGTGTGCCTGTGCTTGGCCTGTCTGTGTGCCCATGCCTGCTCTATTTGTGTGCCCATGCCCACTCTGTGTACCCACAGTCCACTTGTCTTTGTTACCATTCTGGCTTCATCAATGTGTGCCTCTGCCCACCCCACATATATTCCCATGTTTGCATTGTGTGCCTGTCCTGGGTGCCCAAGCATGTCCCATCTGTGTGCCATGCTCTGTATGCCTCTGAGTACATTGCCCTGTGTCCATGCCTGCTTCATCTGTATGCTCATGTTCATACTCATGTACACTCCATCCTGGGCCTACCTGTTCCTTGGAGTACAAGGCTATCAGCCCCCAACCTGGTGTCTCCTGAAGAGGCCTGGGCCTACCTCCCAACGGGACTCTCACCAAAGGCCCTTCCCTGCAGCTGGAGGAGGCTTTGCGGCTGGAGCCTGTGGAGCTGGAGACACAGGAGCCCAGGGGGCTGGTGCGGCAGAGCGTGGAGCTGCGGAGGCAGCTGCAGGAGGAACAGGCCTCCTACCGGCGCAAGCTGCAGGCCTACCAGGAGGGCCAGCAGCGGCAGGCCCAGTTAGTGCAGCGGCTGCAGGCCAAGGTCAGGGCCACTCACCCCAACCCTGCCCTCACTCTGCTTCACTTGGGCCCCACCCCTGGCCTCACACCGCTTCCTACACGTTGCCAGATTCTGCAGTACAAGAAGCAATGCTCGGAGCTAGAGAAGCAGCTGTTGGACAAGTCCACTGAGCTAGAGCAGCAGCAACTGAGGGTAGGTGCCAAGGAGGGGCAGGCACAGGCCCTCCCTCCTCTTGCCTATCCTGACTCCCTTCCTCCTCACCTAGGACACAGAACACAGCCAGGACCTGGACAGCGCCCTTCTGCGCCTGGAGGAGGAGCAGCAGAGGTGAGGGTGGGGCCCAGCCAGCGGGTGGCCTCTGGGCACTCCAGCAAGGGCCCACTGACTGCGCCCCCTGCCCCTCCCAGAAGTGCCAGCCTAGTCCAGGTGAATGCCATGCTGAGAGAGCAGCTGGACCAGGCAAACATGGCCAACCAGACTCTGAGTGAGGACATTCGCAAGGTGACCAGTGATTGGACCCGCAGCTGCAAGGAGCTGGAGCAGAGGGAGGCAGCATGGAGGCGGGAGGAGGAGGTGAGGGGGCCCATGGAGGGAGAGGGACAGGGAGCCTGACCAGGTGATCACAGTATCGGTAGTCGTGGCCATCATGGGAAAGCTGGCCTTGGTTACAAATGCCCTGAGCGGTTTCTTCTATTCCTCACGATGTGCAGTGCTGTCACTGTCTCATGTAGTTAAGTGACCAGCCATGCCGTGGTCACACTGGCAGCTGGGAGGCCTGAGCAGGCCCTGGGTGCTCTTTGGCCCTCAGGGAAGCACGGGTCCTTCCCTTGGCCAGGCAGGGCAGGCGCTGGGGCAGGAATGCAGCAGTGACCTCCGTGTCTCTCCCTAGTCCTTCAACGCCTACTTCAGCAGTGAGCACAGCCGCCTGCTCCTCCTCTGGAGACAGGTCATGGGGCTCCGACGGCTGGTCAGCGAGGTGAAGACGGGCACAGAGAGGTGAGGCCTGGTTGCTGGGAGCATGGGGTGTATGCTGCCCTCAGCTGCCTCTGGGGGATGTAGAGGCAGCTTGCAGGAAGAGAGGCAGCATTGCTGGGCCTCAGCTGGACCACGCTCTTTCTATGGCATTTCATCTAGCCTGCACTGCCTCTCTGAGGAAGAAGCTGTCCTACTTCCCCATTTCACACCAGAGATCAGAGAGGTTGAGTAACCTCAGGTCACGTAGCTGGGTTCAGATTTGAAGCCCTCTTCCCTTTTTTTCTTTATAGTTTGTTTGAATCAGGCACCATAGATATTCACAAAATGTGACGAAACTTTTTTTTTGAGACATTTCACTATGCGCTTTGGCTAGCCTCAAACTCAGAGATCCACCTGCACCTGCCCTCTGAGTCCTGGGATTTTTAAATTTTGGAATCTTTTTTCTTAGAGTCTTATTCCAGGCTGTTCTGGAACTCACTACACAGATGACAATGACCTTGAACTTCTGATCCTCCTTTTTCCACTTGTATGCTGGAATTACAGGCGCTTGCTGTCTTGTGGGTTTACTGTACTGCTGGGGATTGAATCTGGGACTTTGGATGTGTTAGGCAAGCCCTCTACCAGCTGAGCCATGGCCCAGCCCAGTGCTTGAATCTTTTTCTTACAGGTCTGTGTAGCCAATATCTGGCTAAGCGTTTTTGTTTTTGTTTTTGTTTCTCCTTTTTTCTTTTAAGCCTCCTATTTGCTCATGAAACTCAGCTGTCCTCAGAGATTTCTATAGATAGCTTTTGCTGTCCCGTGTTTGGGTGAGCCTGGCACAGCTCTGTGGCTACAGCTGCAGGTTGTCTGAGTCTCAGCAAGACTCAGACTCCAGCAGTGCAGTATCCCCCTAAGAGGTCTCACTCTGTAGACCAAGCTAGCCTGGAATGCCTCTGCCTCCTGAGAACTGTGGTGGCAAGCAAGTGCTACCGTGTGGCTCAGCTTCGTTGTTCTTGAAGAAGCCTTCCCTCTGCTCATTTGCCTGGGAGATGTACACATCAGGAGTAGCTGCCTTGTTGGTTTTTCTTGGCTGTAGGGCCCACTGACTGGATCTACCATCATTTATTTATTTAATAACGATTCCCCCCCCCTTTTTTTTCTAGACAGGGTTTCTCTGTGTAGCCTTGGCTGTCCTAGAACTCACTCTGTAGACCAGGCTGGCCTTGAACTCACAGAGATCCGCTGGTCTCTGCCTCCCAAGTGCTGGGATTAAAGGTGTGTGCTACCACTGCCCCGAAAAATATTTTATGTGGCTTGGTGTTTTGCCTGCATGCATGTCTATGTGAGGGTGTCAGATCCCCTGGAACTGCAGGTACAGACAGTTGTGAGCTGCCATGTGGGTGCTGGGACTTGAACCCAGGTCCTCTGGAATTGCAGCCAGTGCTCCTAACTGCTGAGCCATCTCTCCATCCCCTTGCATTCCTGCTTTTAATGGATGTTCTGACATCATCAGGATTTCCACGCGTGGTGCCACCATGAGTCATCTGTCATTGCCTTGTGCCAGGCCTACGGAAGATGCGTCATGATGCAAAGAGCCCACATGTTCATCCTTCTTAGGGATTTTCCTAGTTGCCCTCCATGGTGGCCCTACCCACTTAGCCCCTTCCATCAGCTGTGTGGAGGAAGGCCAGCTTCCGCACAGCCTCACCCACATTGGGCTTTATGTGCCTTTGTTTCCCCACTCTGGTAGTTTCACAGTGTAGTTTTCTTGATTTTACCCCCTACCCCCTTTACCCCTTATTCTGCTCTCTCTCAGGGACCTACTGCAGCTGGGAGGGGAGCTAGTCCGGACATCCCGGGCTGTCCAGGAGGTGGGCCTGGGACTGAGTGCCAGCCTGCAGAGGGCTGAGAGCCGGGCTGAGGCAGCTCTGGAGAAAGAAAAACTGCTGCAGGCCCAGCTGGAGGAGCAGCTACGGGCCAAGCTGCTCCGGGAGAAGGACCTGGCCCAGCTGCAGGTTCAGAGTGACCTGGACAAGGCCGATCTGAGTGCCAGGTGGGTGGCTCATCTGGAGCTGCAGAGGGGAGTGTATGCCTCAGGGCTGGGCCCTCCCCAGGTTAGCCTGGTTGCGCTTCCCAGGTGCTGTGTTTGACGTCAGAGGGCTGGGGTCTAGACATAATGAAGGCTCTCTGATGACAGGTGGGACCCAACTCTTGTCTCCTGGGTGAGTCTCCTCTGCTCTCTCTTGAGACAGCCAACTGTCTCTGAAATCAGAAGGCCCCAGGCAAGAAGTGACTTACCTGGGAGCTAGGTAGATCCTGGGGTCCTAGTTCAGTTTTGGAAACCGCTGAGGACCTCTGCTGGCGAGCTTGAGAAGTTGGGGCAGGCTCTCCATTCACCTCTTTTGCTCCTTCCTCCAGGGTGACAGAGCTGTCCCTGTCCGTGGAACACCTTCAGAACCAGAATGCGGAGAAGGATCAGGTCAACAGGACCCTCTCTGACAAATTGGAGGCCCTGGTGAGATGCAGCAGCAGCAGCAGCAGCAGCATGTGGCAATGGCCATGCCCAGGGCCTCTGGCTGAGGGCCAGGTTGTTTGGGCCCTGTTGAGTGTCCCACACAGACTGGGTGCTGTCCTCACAGTGCATGCCAGGCTTAGCACAGTGACATTCACCTGTTCTGTGCCCTTCCACCTCCCAGCAAGCCATTACACAGTTGAGGAAGCTAAAGCCCAAGGGTCTCTCCAATTCAGTACCTGGGGAGTCAGGACTTGGGCTCCCAGGGAAAGCCACTACCTCCCCACCAGACACCCAAGGCACTGGGCTCCATACCTTGTGGGGCAAGGTTTGAGCTTCTTCACTAGGCCAGGTGACTGGGGTGGGGAACTGTGCTTCTCTGTGCTTCATCTGTTCATTGAGGGCTGCAGGCCTGTGGGTGTGGCTGGTACTGGTACTTTGGCATAACTGTGACCAACCTTTCTTGTCACTAGGAGTCTCTGCGGACCCAGGAGCAGGCGGCCATGGACACTGAGGATGGAGAGGGCCTGCAGCAGACCCTGAGGGACCTGGCACAGGTATGGTTACAGCCTTCACAGGGCTGGCCAGACATTTCTGAGCCCCTCACCCCAGCCTTGGGATATACTGCAAATGGTTGCAGCACCCTGGCTGCTGCAGACCTCTGCTGGCACATGGAGCCTTGCCCTAATTAGCCCTGTGAGACTGTGAGGACCCTGAAGGGCAGCGAAGGGCAGGCCCTGCCTGGCGGGCTGCACACTGTGGATATAGACTCAGGAAGACTTCTTAGGTTGCCTCACTCCCGACTGTGACCAGCTAACCCCAACTCCCCTTTCCTGACCCGCCTCCTAGGCTGCCCTATCGGACACAGAGAGTGGCGTCCAACTCAGCAGCTCAGAGCGCACTGGAGACACCTCTGATGGCAGCCTGCGGGGGCTCTCCGGCCCGCGGACCCCGACCCCACCGCGGCACTTCTCCCCGGGTCGAGGCCGGTCCCCACGCCGAGGCCTGTCTCCAGCCTGCTCTGACTCCTCCACGCTCACGCTGATCCACTCTGCCCTGCACAAGCGCCACCTGCAGGTCCAGGTAGGAAGGGGCCTGAGCATTCCACAGCCAGGGACCCTGGGGTCTGGACTGGGGCCCTGAGAAACTGCTGCTGAGATTGAGTTCTAGAGAAAATCTGAACCTGAAGTGCCTGGGTGGCTGGGAGTGCCTCAGAAAAGGGGCTAGAGCCCCGAGAAATGGAGATAAAACTCAGGGCTAGGACCCTCAGGAAAAGTCTAAGAGGGGAAATCTGAGCCTAGGATAAGGAGAGCTTGGAAACCAGGGGCGGGATCAAGAGAAGACACGAGGGGGCGGGGCCTGAGCCCTTGTGAGTGGAGTCAGCCTTTAGGGGCGGGGTGTTCTTAGGTGGTTTGGACACTGGTTGGAGTTGCCCTAAAGCGGGGAGTTGAGGGCACAGGAGTGGAGAGGTGCCCTCTGCTGGCCCAGGCGTGCCCAGTGCCATGGAGCTGTTAGGAGAGAGTGAGTGGGCTCTTCCAGACCCCCCCACCCCCATACCCCAGGACATGCGTGGGCGCTATGAGGCCATCCAAGACCTGCTGGGCACCGTGCGCAAGCAGCTCAGCGATAGCGAGGGTGAGCGGCGCGGCCTGGAAGAGCAGCTCCAGCGCCTGCGGGACCAGACGGCCGCCACAGCTCGGGCCCAAGAGGACGCACAGCGAGAGGCCCAGCGCCTACGCAGCGCCAACGAGCTCCTGAGCAGGTGGGGGGCCTAGGGCCAGCAGGAGGCGCTAGGCCTAACTAAGCAGGCCCAGTCCGCTAGAGGGGCCAGCCAGGTAGAAATACCTAGTTTTCAAGGAAGTAAAAATTCAGTTCTTGTTACCCTAGTCACATTTCAGGTTCCCTCATTGCTACATAGAACATTCCAGAATTCTGCGCTCAGTGCTGCCCAGAACTGTTTTCTGTTGGTTGGTCGGTTGGTTGGTTGCCTGCCTCTTGCTGGAAATGATCCAAGGCCTGGTGCATGCCAGGGAAGTACTCTACCACTGAGCTACATCCCAGCCATTCTAGAGAAAGTTTTTTTGTTGTTTGTTTATATATTTTCAATACAGCCTGTGCAGCCCTGGCTGTCCTGGAGTGCGTTCTCTAGACCAGGCTAGCCTTGAACTCACAGAGATCTGCCTGCCTTTGCCTCCCAAGTGCTAGGACTAAAGGCATGCACCACCACACCTGGCTGGTAGAGAAAAGATTTTTTTTTTTTAATTATTATGTACATGAGGGTATGTGCACTCCTAGAAGCCAGAGCTGTCAGTTAGAGCCCTGTGGATCTGAAGTTACGGGTGACTGGATGCTGAGAATCGGCTGGTCCTCTGCAAGAGCAGCATGTGCTCAAAAGAACTAATCCACACATGTCAGCCTCTGGTCTCCACTCATGTGCTACCTCATACACACACTCCCACACACAGCACAAAAATGTAATTGTAAATATAATACTTTTTTTTTGAAAGAGACATTATCTTCCCTTTAAGCACTTGTAGTTTTTAAATTTGTTGTTGTTACTTTTTAATTTTCTCTTTCAAAGTAAAAACAGTAAAGCTGGACATGGTGGTGTGCTCTTCTTTAATCCCAGGACTTGGGAGGCAGACACAGATGGATCTCCCTGAGTTTGAGGCCAGCCAGGGTTATATAGACCTTTCCAGACTCCTACTCTGAAGTGGATGGAAGGGGCAGGACAGTTCATCTGAGACCAAGCCTTTGCTTTCATCCTGTGGGAAGGAACTGGGCTATTTAAATAGGTTGTCCATAGTGAGAACCCCATTTTGTATTCTGTGTTCATGCCACAAGTGTTCATTTCCACCTTGGTGTTTAGCATATTTAGGGGTTGCACTCTGAGCAGCCCTCAGCCTGATCTAAAAACCCCAGCTGACAGAGGAGCCCCAGTCTCTGCTTGGGACGATGGAGCTGAGGAAGAGGGCAGCTCTCTGCAAGCCTTTGGCATTCCCAGTGGCTTCCTCCTCCTCTGTGGCACACCACAAGCATGCTGCTGCACCCTGCAGTGGGAAGGCTCTGGGGTTCAATCACATCCAGCTCTGTTTGGCTTGCCAGGGTTAGGGTGATAGGTGACACGGGCGGTTCTTGGCCAACCTAGATGCCTGTGTGTCCAGGAGCCTGGCCCTGGCCTCTTCCACCTGCTGGGGTGCTTTCAGGGGACAGCAGCGTCTCCATCCATTCCTCTGGGCCTGTAGGTATACAGGCAGGGCAGAGGGAGAGCCAGGTTCTCAGTGCTGGATGTTATGGTGAGATGAGTCAGTTGTGAGAAGCCTCGAGGAAGGCTTCCTGGAGGCAGCGCCCTGGAGGACAGAGGATGTGGTCAGAGTAGTCAGTCCAGCCACTTTCCCTGGTGGAGAGCAGCCTCAGAAATGCCCCCTCCCCTCTCTGCTTGTCCTGTAGGGAGAAGGGCAGCCTGGCCCACAGCCTGCAGGTGACCCAGCAGCAGGCTGCGGAGCTGCGCCAGGAGCTAGAAAAGCTGCAGGCTGCCCAGGAGGAGCTGAGGCGGCAGCACACCCAGTTGGAGGAGGAGCAGGAGGACACGATGCAGGAGGGCGCCCGGGCCCGCAGAGAGCTGGAACGCAGGTGGGCCCTGCTCACTTCCCTACCAGGGTCTTTGCAGTGCAGTCTTGGGGGAGATAGCACCCATGAGTCCTGGGCCTTCTAACCAGCCCCACTACAGAAAATTGAGACTTGAAGTGCAGTCACTGTGGGAACAGGAGGAGAGGCCTCGGGTGATTAAAAACAGCACGTAAAGATTAATAATCCTCATCTAAGAAACTTAAGGTGCTTAGCCTGTTGGTGTACACCTTTGATGCCAGCATTCGGAGGCGGAGTCAGGTGGAGCTCTGCAGGTTCCAGGGTAGCCAGGGCTATGTAGAGAGACCCTGTCTCAAAAAAAAAAAAAAAAAGTGACACTAATTGTCATTATACAGCAGTGGTAATAGTAATGCCAAGTGCCAGAGACCATGTTAGGCTCAGCCCTCAGCATGACTATGATTTAGAAGGAATTGTCTTTATTTTGTAGCTATCTTTCATGTTATTTTTTTTCACGTGTGGCTGTTTTGGCTGCATATCTGTCTCTGCACCACATGTGTGTGTGCCTGGTGCCCATGGAGGCCAGAGGAGAGTGTTCAGTCCCTGGAACTGGAGCTACAGATAGTTGTGAGCTGCCATGTGGGTGCTGGGAATTGGAAATGTCCTCTGGAAAAGGCCCCTAGTGCTCTCTGCTGAGCCAGCTCCGAAGCCCCATTTTTAAACATAGTAAAACTGAGGCACCAGGGGTGTGGCCATGAGACTTGCCCTGTGGTACACGGCTGAGAGAAGAGCCAGGATTCCACCCTACTATGGCACAAGCAGGGATGGTGTTGGTGTTAGTGGGTGTGGAGTTGTTCCTGAAGCCTTGGGGAGTCAGCAGGCACCTTCTGAAGTACCTCCTGTGTGGCACCACAGTGGCACAAGGCTTCACAGATGTGACAGTTGATCCCCAGAGTCAGAGCTGAGGCTGTGGGCTAGGTTGTCCTTGGGGTCCTGCCAGTGTCCGCTCTGGCTCTGTGGGCTGCATGGGGCACAGAGCAGTAGAGTGACAGGAGTCCCCTGTCGCACAGCCATAGGCAGCTGGAGCAGCTGGAAGTGAAGCGCTCAGGGCTAGCTAAGGAGCTGGTGGAGGTGCGGGAGGCTCTGAGCTGCGCCATACTGCAGAGGGACGTGCTGCAGACAGAGAAGGCTGAGGTGGCTGAGGCGCTCACCAAGGTGAGTCCTGTCACCCACACAACTCACGGTTCTTCCTACTGGCCACAGACTAGCCTTACCTCAGGCTGCTGTCTGAGCATGTCGTTGACCCCTTCCTCTGGCTATGGACTATTATTTTTATCTATTTGTTACTGTGGTTTAAATCTCTCTGTCTCTGTCTCTCTCGGTGTGTGTGTACGTGTGTGCACGCACTGTGGCATTTGTCTGGAAGTCAGGACAGCCTTGGTGTCCACTCATGTCTCTACCTTATTTAAGTCTCTTCATTGGTCCCTGCTGTGTCTACTACTCTAGCTGGATCTTGAGCTTCTGAGGATCCTCCTGTCTGCCCCCATCTTGCTGTGGGAATGGTGGGGTTATACTTGTTAACTTCTGCCTACAGCTTGTCCATGGACTCTGGGGATTTGAACTCATGTCTTTATGCTTGAGTGACAAGAGCTTTACCCACTGAGCTGTCTCCCTAGCACCACAGTCTGACTTTGACCCATGCCACAGATTCCTGCTTTTTCAGGGGCTCATGGGATCAGAGCCTGAAGCTCGGGATCACCTGGTCCTCTTATGGAAATGGGACATGGGAGTTAGGAAGTTGGGGTGCTGGGAGTCCTTGGAAAGTGCTTATCCTGCTCTGGCAGCCTAGGCTCTCCATGATGGTAGCCTAGGCTGTACCTGGACTCTCTTCTGACTCTGCCTCTACCTTTCAGTCCTTTGTTGAGCAGCTCTAGGGTATGAGGTGTCTTTCAAACAACCTCCCAGGCTGAAGCCTTTGATGGGAATTGCCTGACTTGTGTCAGCCCTTTCTCTTTAGCCCCAACCTGGCCTGTGAGGGTCTGTTTCCCTGGATCTCTCCCCAACTGCTGCTTCCCTGTCCCCACTGCAGGCCGAGGCTGGCCGAGCGCAGCTGGAGCTCTCCATGACCAAGCTGAGGGCAGAGGAGGCCTCACTGCGAGACTCCCTGTCCAAGCTGGGTGCCCTCAATGAGAGTCTCGCTCAGGACAAGCTGGAGTTAAATCGCCTTATTGCCCAGGTATACTGTACACCTGCCCCATGTCCCCTCCACAAGGGAGACACCACAGAGGCTCCCATACCCTGCCCTGTCTATCCTGCTACCTCTCATCCCATCTGTCTTTCTTTGTCTCTGTCTTGTGCATCTTAGAAGGATGCTCTAGGGCCAGGCTCTATTCTGTTGCTTTGTTCTCAGCACCATGGATGCCCTTTCTCCCTAGGGAGCCTCCCCTGGACTAGTTGTGACCATTGGAGGGATGGAGGGGGCATCCTGGTCCTGGGAGCGTTCCTTTGCTCCTCCAGATCTCTGTCCATACAGCTAGAGGAGGAAAAGGCGGCGCTCCTGGGCCGACAGCAGCAGGCAGAGCATGCCACCACACTGGCTGTGGAGGAGCAGGGACGGTTGGAGCAGCTGAGGCTGGAGCAGGAGGTGGAGCGGCAGGGCCTGGAGGGCTCCCTGTGTGTGGCTGAGCAGGCCCGGGAGGTGCTGGAGCAGCAGCAACTTGCACTGCGCAGTGAGCGCAGTCATCTGCAGGAGCAGTTGGCCCAGGTGGGCAGAGCCCCATGAGGATGTGTGGGTAGGGGCTCCTGGCCACTCACGTCCTGTTCTGGGATAAGCTACAGGCTCAGATGGGTGTTGGGTTCATACCCACCTCACCTCTACTAGCTAAGGGCCTTGAGCAAGCTATTATACCCGGCATGCCCCTGGCTGTCTCTGAGGCTAAGGGCTTCTGCCCCTTAGAGGATGTGCTGGCTCTTAGCCAGCCTTGGTGAAGAGCCATCATATGAAGAAAGCAGAGACTCGGGGGACTGGAACTATCCAGCCAGAAGGCAGCTTAGGGTTCCAGGGCTCCGGGGCCTGAAATGGAGCATGTGTCCTGGGGTCCAGGTGCAGCTCCAGCTCCTCCTCCCTGCAGCCTAGACGCTGCACTCCTTGCTCTTTGCTGTGCTCAGCTTCTCAGAAAGTTTTGGTTGCAGGGTGGAGTGAGTGGCTAGGGCCTTTGTTTTCGCACATGCATGCATTTGCAAGTGTAGAAAAGGCTAGGGTTTGCCTAGGCACATCAGTGCAGAGCCTGTGCTCAAACCGCAGCCTCCTGCTGCCAGGCCAACCAGACCCCACATTAGAGTACTACGTGGTGAACCAGCCAGGGCGGCTGTTCACAGTCCCTGGGTTGGCCAGCTCTCCCGGCAGCTGAGTGGACGGGACCAGGAGCTGGAGCAGGCCTTGCGGGAATCACAGCGGCAGGTGGAGGCACTCGAGCGCTCAGCCCGGGAGAAGGAGGCTCTGGCCAAGGAGCGGGCTGGCCTGGCTGTGCAGCTGGCAGCAGCAGAGCGTGAGAGCCGGACCCTGTCAGAGGAGGCCATTCGCCTACGGTAAGGTGTGGGCTTTGCCTGCAGGGGCCATGCCTGGGCCCATATCCTGACCAGCCACACCCTGGGGTTGACCCAGAGGAGCAGTCACTTAGGAGCCAGGCTTACCAACACAGCCGAGCTCAGGTGCAGCCTTCCCTAGGGAGCCTGAGTCTAGCTGGGAGGGTAGGCTGGCATCTGGCTCATACTGGGCACGCCCTGAGACCCACAGTTTCCTGGGGCTGGGAAGGCTGAGTCCCAAGGCCTCAGGGACTGTGTGCTACAGCTTGGAGAAGGAAGCCCTGGAGAGCAGCCTGTTTGATGTGCAGAGGCAGCTGGCTCAGCTTGAGGCCCGCCGGGAGCAGCTAGAAGCTGATGGTCAAGCCCTGCTGCTCGCCAAGGAAACTCTGACTGGTATGAGGGTCTGGGTTGGGGACCTGCCAGGCTTCATCTGTAGATACTGGCATCTCGAAGAGGTTGGGAGACCTAGGTGAGGCACGTGGCTCTGGCTGACCTGGGTCCCTGTCCTGAGCTGGCACATGGCTCCCCAAACAGGCCCTTCCCTCTCTGAGCTGTCGGCTCCTCTGGCATCAGAGATAGCAGGGATGCCTGCCTGCCTAGCCTATTGCCAGGAGAGGTGAAGGAGCGTGTGGAGGCCTTGGCAAAGTGCCAGCTGTAGCTGCTGCTTCTTCATCATCAGGGAGGCTGGAGAGTTGAGGTCCCCATAGAACCATTAGCTGCTTCCGTGAATCTCAGCCCTATGCTCTCAGCGCAGGGTCCCCACACGTTCTCCACTCTCTAAAGTCAATCCTACCAGCTCAGCAGAGGAGCTCAGCCCCTGCAGGTCGTGGAAATTGACCTTCCCGAGTCAGACAGACCCAGGGAGGGCAGTGCTAGTGGGTTTACGCCAGGACCCTTACTGATGCAGCTGGGACACCCTCCGCTTTGCCCCTCAGTGAGGGCTGTTGGCACTAATGGAGACACTCCATAAAGCTGGACAGCTTGAGAGGTTACTGGTCTCAGAGCATCATCTTTGACGAGGGTGAGGTTAAATTAACATTCAAATGCTGTGATGTGCTGTGGTGTATGGAGAGTCAGCAGCTGCTTGGCCCAGCTGGCATGTCAGTAACGGAGTCGCCGTACTTTTGATATCCTTCCCTTCGGTGTAGCCCTTCTCACCAGACATTTTCTCCCTTGTACACGAGGGGAACACAGCCAGAGAGCCCATGTGGCAAACTGGTATACAGAGGGAGAGAGCCACTTCCTCAAGGAACTCAGCACAGGTGCCTGGCAAGCTCTCTTCCCGCTGATTTGCCCATGTGGCTCATCTGGCCCGAGGCCGCTGGCCCAACGGGAGCCTGTGACTCAGCCCTGCCTTCCTGCCATCCCTCCTGTGCAGGTGAGCTTGCAGGCCTGCGGCAGCAGGTAACAGCCACCGAAGAGAAAGCGGCCCTGGACAAGGAGCTGATGACCCAGAAGCTAGTGCAAGCCGAGCGGGAGGCGCAGGCCTCTCTGCGGGAGCAGCGGGCAGCCCATGAGGAGGAACTTCAGAGACTCCAGCGAGAAAAGGTTCGTTCAGCTGGGGAAGAGTAGGCAAGGCTTTGGGCCTCATTGTCTCTGTGTTCCAGGGAGGCACCTGTCATGTTCTGCCTCAGTTTCCACATCTATGAAATAGGACTTTATGTTTGCCATAGAGACTCAGGGGACATCTGAGAAGATCTGTGGGAGAGAGTTGTCTATCATATATAGAGAGTTCCAAGCCCCAAATTAGGTCCGGTCCTGGTGAGCCTGGTGGAGACCCACAGTCATTGGAGCAAGGCCAGGGTTACATATAGCAGAAAGCAGGCTGGGCATGGTGCACACCTTTAATCCTAGCACTCAGAAGGCAGAGGCAGGCAGATCTCAGAGTTTGAGGTCGGCTTGGCCTACATAGTTCTAGAACAGCCAGGGCTACATGGTGAAGCCTTGTCTCAAAACAAATGTACAGTAGAAAGCCATATGTTTCTATGTTCGCTAAGATTCTGGAATGATAGGGCAGGGCATCCCAGGGAAGTCCCTTGACCACTGAGTCTGTGTTTATGTTTCCTGAGTTTGTGTCTGATCTTGGTCTCACTCCGCTGATGTCATGTAAGCTGTTTGTGCTTTCATTTTTTCCACCCAATAGAAACGGGATAGACTGTTCTGGGTTCTTGTGAATGAAGGTTTTAGCGTAGCAGCCAGCACTACATTTCCTGTCAGCTTCTGTTACTTGGGGTGCTCTACAGCGTGCTTCCCACGACAGGGGTCTCCAGAAACCTTGCCTAGACAGGGCTGCTTCCAACAATTTCCTGTCCCCCCTGCAGGATTCCTGTAATTAAAGTCCTGAGAGATGTCCCCTGGGCCTCCGTGGATTTGGGTGGGAATTACCACATATGGCCAGTAGGTGGTAGGGCAGCACCTGAAGAAAGGCCTCGTGCACCACCCTTCAGGACGTTCTAGAGGACAATCAATGCCCTCAGCCCAAGAAAGCCATCTTCTCCTTGGGCTGGGTCATGTTTCCAGTGAGCCATTATCTATGATCCCTGGCTCTTACTGTCTTTATGTGTACCCCAAGTCTGTATTCTCTCCTCCTTCTCTGGCAGTCTGGGGCCCAGAGTTCTGTCACTGTTTGCAACCAGCCATAGACCTCTCTAGCTGCCTAAACAGAGTTGGAGAGATGGCCCAGCGGTTAAGAGCACTAGCCCCTCTTCCAGAGGACCTGGGTTCAGTTCCCCACACGATGGCTCACAACCATCCATAACTTCAGTCTCAGGGAATCCAACGCCATCTTCTAACCTCCAGAGGCACCAAGCATGCATATGGTCCATAGACGTACATGTAGACAGACACTCATGCACACAAAAAAGTTTAAGAAATAAAGCTCAGAATGTTTTTGTCACCTGGGCTTGAGGGTCCCCGTTGTCCCCATAGACCTCAATCCCATAGCTCACCTGGTGTGGCCCAGTGACCAGGCCTATGTTTGGCCCACTGAGGGTTCCGTGAGGTTCCAGCCTGCTCTCTCCTCAAGGCCTCCAGGGTACACTCCTGGCCTAGTCCTCTGCATTCTACCTGAGTAGCTGCTGCTCCGTCCTCCCCAGGGAGGGTTCTTGTCCCCAGCTCAGGCTGCTGTGCCCCATTGCTCCATTTACAGACCTGATGTGACCTCGTAACAGCTTCCATTGCCCTACCCTACAATGACCTGGTCACCCACCCTGCCACTTAGCTGTGGGGTACTTGGGCCTTTTTCTGACCTGAAGTCTGCAAAGGACTTTCAGGGCCCCTCCTAGTGTGTCACACAGTCCTGATCTGTCTCTCAGGAGTCTGCATGGCGGGAGCTGCAGGCAGAGCGGGCCCAGCTGCAGGGCCAGCTACAGCAGGAGCGAGAGGAGCTGCTGGCAAGGATGGAGGCTGAGAAGGAGGAGCTGAGTGAGGAGATCGCTGCGCTGCAGCAGGAGCGGGACGAGGGCCTGCTCCTGGCCGAGAGCGAGAAGCAGCAGGTCTGTGAGCCCAGGCAGCCTCTGTGGCTCTCCCACAGAGCTCTCCCGGCTCTGCCCAGCAAGTCCCCACCCAGCTAGGAGTCCAGGAAGCAGCCGGGTTCCTCCTGGGCCTTAGCTCTCTCGCCTGCAGGACAGGAGAGTTGGCGGCCTAGTGCACAGTGGCCGTGACAGGTGACACAAGGCAAGCTGTTGCACATTCTCCTGCCCCTTTGCTTGCCTCAGGCAGCATGCCTCTGGCCTGTGCCCACAGGTGCTTGCCGACCCTTCCTAATAGTTAATTCTTGGTTTTCCATACGGTAACGGAGCAGGGCAGACAGTAGTCATCTGCTCTGTCCCCCGGGGAAAACCACATTCTCTCTGAGCCACAGCTCTTGTCTATATTTGGGAATCATGAAAGTCTTTGTCCTGGGGAAATTGAAGCATTAGTTAGGTCCGTAGATCATGTCCACACACAGGCTCCTACTGCTGCTCCTGAACCCTACTGTAGAGCTACAGGGAATGAACAGGCACCTCTGCCCTAGGTCACCCATGGAGGGACAGTGCTTGCTACTGAGCAGAGTGCGAGGCTAGGAGGAAGGACTAGCCACCCACTGAGCCCTTGCTTCTTCTTAGGCCTTGTCCCTGAAGGAGTCTGAGAAGACTGCGCTGTCTGAGAAACTGATGGGGACCCGGCACAGTCTGGCTGCCATCTCTCTGGAGATGGAGCGGCAGAAGCGAGATGCCCAGAGCCGGCAGGAACAGGATCGGGTAGGTAGGCAGCGGTCTGTATCCAAGGGGAAACCAGCTTGGCTTGAAGGCGCTTGTCAGAGTGGGAAGCCTGCTCTGGGGAGTGCTTCCAGGTGGTGGGCAAGGTCCAGCCCTACCTTCCGGACCCCAAACTGAGGGGGGAGGCCATGAGGTCCGCCCTGGTGAGACTAGTATAGAGAGGCCGGCTTCAGGGTACTGAAGTGTTTTCAGGGTGTGACAGGCCCTGGGAGGGTAGGGCAGTAAAGCGGGGTGGGTGTTGGAGGCTATGTCAGGTCTAAGTGTGAGGCTCCTGACCGCCTCAGAACACAGTGAACGCCCTGACGTCTGAACTTCGAGACCTCCGGGCCCAGCTGGAGGAGGCCACTGCAGCCCATGCCCAGGAGGTGAAGGAGCTTCAGGAGCAGACTGGGAATCTGGGCCGGCAGCGGGAGTCCTGTATGCGCGAGGTGAGCTGACGCTGCTCTCTCCTGGCAGCGTGTGTGCCTGCGTGAGTGCGGAGGAGTGCTGCTGCCTAGGTGCTGGGACTGAGCCTGTGAGTCCTCCCGCAGTGGGGACAGACAATGGCTAACCCAAATAGGAGGCAGTAAACATTTATTAAGCACCTGATGTTTGCAAGGGAGGTTTGGGAGACTCATTGGGAATTGTTTCAGGCTCATGCCCTGCTGAGTCCATTGTACCTTGTCCCAGACCATAACTGAGGCCAGCCACCCACCATCCATAGATGAGGGTATTGGGGCAGTGTAGGGACCACAGCGTCCCCTGGCCAGGGGAGAAAGTGGCATACAAGCCCATTCCTGCCATGGCCCCAGCCCGAGGGCCCCTCACCCCATCGTGGGCCCACAGGTAGAGGAGCTGAGGACCCAGCTGCGGTTGCTGGAGGACACCCGTGATGGGCTACGGCGGGAGCTGCTGGAGGTGCAGCGCAAGGTTCGGGACAATCAGGAGGGCTGTGATGCCCATTGCCGGGAGGCCAGCGAGCTGCGGCGCAGTCTGAGTGAGGGCACCAAGGAACGCGAGGCCCTGCGGCGTTCCAACGAGGAGCTGAGGACTGCTGTGAAGAAAGCCGAGAGTGAGCGCATCGGGTGAGAGCTCCGGGAGACCGCCCGGCTTCCCAGGCCCCATCCTCTAACTCAGTGGTTCTCAACCTTCTAGTGCTGCGACCATTTAATATAGTCCCTCAAGGTTGGTGAACGCTCAACTATAAAACATTTTTGTTACCATTTCGTAACTCTTAATTTTGCTGCTGTTATGAATCATAATGTAAATATTTGATATGCAGTGTGTCTGGTATACAACCCCTGGGAAAGGGTCCTTTAACTCCCAAAGGGGCTGCGACCCCCAAGTTGAGAACTTCTGCTCTGACTAAACATTGCCCCAGAGCCTCACTTCACCCCATGGTTTAGGGAACCGTGTAGATGGTGAGCTTTGGTCCATAAGCATAGCCTGAGAGGGGGCCTGTTTGGTGTCTTATCTGTCGAAGAGAGGGCTGGGTCACACTCAGGCCTTACCTGGAGTTTCTGTGTACCCCTCTCTCCTGGCCAAGGGCCTGCCCCCAGCCCTGCAGGCTCAGTGCCAGGGCAGCCCCGTGGGCAGGCAGTAAAGCTGCACGGGGGCAGGATGGGGCCTCTCTTCTCAGAGCCAGGGCGAGCCTTGAGCACAGAGCTGCGACCACTCTCCCAGAACAGCCTCTGCCTTTCGTTCTCTGCAGTCTGAAGCTTGCCAATGAGGACAAGGAACAGAAGCTGGCCCTCCTAGAAGAGGCTCGCACGGCTGTGGGCAAGGAGGCTGGAGAGCTGCGGGCCTCGCTGCAGGATGTGGAGCGGTCCCGGCTGGAGGCTCGGCGTGAGCTGCAGGAGCTTAGGCGACAGGTGCATCCTGCCCTTCCACAGGCCCTGGCCAGCAGCACCCCTCTCTGGAGGCCAGGGCCACTGTGGGTAAAGGCAAGGCCTGAGCTTTGCCTGACCTTGGCATTCATGGATGAGTAGTGTGATTGACTTTTTCTGGGGAGACCTAACACACGCACACCCCACGCATGCCCCTACTCAGCCCAGAAGGGAACCCGCAGCAGACCAAAGTAATGGTTGCACCAAAAGTCCAACTCGATGAACCAGTGAGTTTTTGGTGGGGGTACTAGCAGGAGTGTGGCTGAGGAGTCACTTACAGGAGCAGGGAGGGTGCAGAGGTGGCTGCGTCACGGGAAAACCCACCCTGACACGGGCAACAACTCCCAAAGGCTGCAGCCTGGGAGTTCCTTGCGGCTTCAGGCAGCTGGACAGGCTCCAGAAGCTCCTTAGCGCCCCTCCCCCATTGGTTGTTTACTCTTCTATAAGTCTAGGAGGGGCTTTTGAGAACTTTCCAGGTTTCCATACTTTCCTGAAAGGCTCTGTTTACCTCCGGAGCCTCGGAGCCTCCTCTCCCTCCCGGAAAGTGTTTTAGTTCAGAGGAAACTGCTCAAGGGCAGATGGGCTCTGAGGGCTCCTCCACCCATGAACCTGTATGGAAGTTCTATGCCATCCCACACTCACACTCAGGCGTCCCCACAGGGAGGCCCAGCATCTTACCCAGTTTTAAAGGAACCTGAGCAATAAATAGCTCCCAAGAACTGGGTCAGGCAGGCAAGCTGTACTGAGCCGAGAGCTAGGTACTTCCACTTTGACAGACCATGGACTGTCTCCATCCCTCCCTACCTTACTTTGTAAGAAAGCAGCCATAACCTGGTCATGCTGGTACAGCTACTGTGGAGACTGAGGCCAGAGGCTCACAGGTCCAAGGCCTGCCTGTGCTACAAGACTGGTTCGAGAGCGGTCTCAACTTACTGCGGACCCGTTTAAAAGAAAGTAAAACCAGCAAGGCTCTCACTCACTAAGTCGGTGAGAATGCTCGCCTACGGCGTGAAGCCCCGAGTTTGCTGCCCAGGACTGCCAAGAAATGGAAGGGGCTGGAGAGATGGCTCAGCCCGTCGGAGAAGCTGCAGAAGACCTGGCTTTGACATGGCAGCTCAAAACTAACTCCAGTCCCAGGGTGTTCATACCCTCTCCGGCCTCCACAGGCGCATGCGGTGTGCAAACAGACACGCAGGCACCACACTCACACACATAAAAACAACTAAGTAAAAATTTTCAAAAGAAAAGTATCCATAAGCGGTTGGGGGTGCAGCTCAGTGGCAGGGTGCCGCTGAGTGTGCACAAACCCCGTGTTTGAGCCCCAGCACAAGATGAGAGACACATGCGCATACACACACATGCAAAAGCAGTAATGCACAGGTAGAACAGGAACACATGGGGGGTGCTGCAGTCAGTTTGTGAGCACAGATTTGAACTTCATGTAATTGTCATGTGTCAGGAAATACTGCTTTTCTCTCTGTGGTTTTGTTTTGTTTTGAGCCATTTTCTACCGTTTGAAAACGGAAGAACTGTCCTTCCTTGCCTTAGCGGCAGGCAATGGCTGAACTCGTCTGCAGGCCGTAGGGTACTGGCCTCTGACTAGACCTCCATCCCCTTCACTTGCCAGCCCTGATCAAGCGCTTGCTATGTACCGAGCACTGCCCACACTCTGGAGAGGTCAGGCCTTCCCACTCTAGAAGGCCCAAGGAACAGAAAGCGGTCTCACTGTGTGCAGTGAGACAGCATATGATAGCCAGAGACTGATGCTCTGACATGGGTGGCACTCCTGAAAATGACCTCACCTCAGGCGCTCACCTAGGCCCGTCAGTCAGCAGCCCTTGGAAGGAGCAGGCTACCTGTGCTAGGCCCCTGCTGGGGGCGGGGTGAGGCTACCTGCTGTAGTCCTGTGCCTGTGGTGGGTGGACCTCGGCCCCCCTGCTCCCAGGAGGAAACAGACCCTCTGTGTTCCCCTTGCCTGGGAACCCAGTCTGCTGCTTGTGGGCTGTATAGGAGGGAGGCAAGTCATTCCCACACTCTGGCCTGGCTTCCAGGTTTAAACACACAGAGGCAAGGTTAATCCAGTTGGTGTAAGTGCTTAGAACAGCTGGGCACACAGCACTCCTGGGCTACCTCAGGAGAGGTGAGGGAGACCTTGGGAGCTATGCTTCCCAGCGGTAGTGTCTAGGCTGGCTGGGCAGCAAGTTAACCCTTCTGCTGTTGCCCACACTTCACCCATTAAGTTGCATACGAGCTCTGCCACGACCGGAGCTCTGTGAGTTCAGCAGGGCAGGCTCCCATGGACATGGAGTCTTAAGGTGATGCCTCCGAGGTTAGCCTATCCCAAGAGACCCCTGGGCCAGCACTGGGCAGAACTTAAGGGCCCAGCTGACTTCCCTGCCTGCTCTGATTCACAGATGAAGATGCTGGACAGCGACAATGTCAGGCTGGGCCGGGAGCTGGCAGAGCTGCAAGGCCGCATGGCCCTGGGCGAGCGGGCAGAGAAGGAGAGCCGGCGAGAGGTGCTGAGCCTGCGGCAGAAGCTGCTGAAGGGCGAGAGCAGCCTGGAGGCCTTGAAGCAGGAGGTAACTGGGCAGGGGCTGGGCTGGCCAGAGGAGGGTGGCCTACCGTCCGCCTGTCTTCCCTCCAGAGGAGAGTGCTGAGGCCATTGCCCCTGACAGCCAGTTGTCTTAACACTAACAAGCAAAAGTGCTATAGGCTGAAAGTGTGCAGACCCCAAAAGGTCGTGGGGCGCCTCTGAAGACACAGCACACCCATGAGGTGGGGAATGTTAGCCCCACTTTGCCAGGACAGACAGGCTCATAAAGGTCCAGGCATCTGCCCAACGTCACAGCCCCCAGCTCTAGCGTGACTGGTGGTCACTCACTCTGCATCAGAGTGCTTACGTAGCATTCAGGGAAGATGCGGTGAGGGGAGGGCCTTTCCTGTGGAACTGTGAGGTGGCCCCTTCTCACGGGAGGGCAGCGTTCCCTGTGTTTTGAGTCCGTAATGGATGCCCTCCACCTGTGTGGCCTTGGACTGATCACTGTTACCTTCCCAGTGCCTGTCTCCTCACAGTGAAAGGATCTTGGCCCTTAGGCCTTTCGTCCTTAGTGAAAGGACCATGGGTGTTACTGTCTTTTTCTTTCTTTCTTTTTTTTTTTTTTTTTTTTTGGTTTTGGATTTTTGAGACAAGGTTTCTCTGTGCAGCCCTGGCTGTCCTGGACAGGCTGACCTTGAACTTACAGAGACCCGCCTGCCTCTGCCACCACCGAGCAACCTTACAGCACATTAGACATAAACATCTGTGACAGATAAGCACATTCAAGTTCCCCCTCCCTAATGAATGCTCTTTGCCCTCCTCCCAGAGTGGAGACCGCTAAGGCACAGTGTGGTCCCCGGAGTGTTGGGCACTAGGCCGGCCAGGTGGGGGTAGGGGCTAGGGGCAGCCTGTGACTCCGACTTTACCCCCCACCTCAGCTCCAGGGATACCAGAGGAAGCTGCAGGAGCAAGAGGCCGAGTTCCGAGCGCGTGAGCGAGGCCTGTTGGGCTCCCTGGAGGAGGCGAGAGGCTCGGAGAAGAAGCAGCTGGACACAGCTCGCAGCCTGGAGCTGAGGCTGGAGGCGGTGCGGGCCGAGACCTCGGAGCTGGGGCTGCGGCTCAGCGCGGCCGAGGGCCGGGCCCAGGGCCTGGAGGCCGAGCTTGCCCGAGTGGATGCCCAGCGGAGGGTGGCCGAGGCCCAGCTGGGCGGCCTGCGTTCCGCCCTGCGCCGGGGCCTGGGCCTGGGCCTGGGCCGAGTGTCCAGCTCGCCAGTGCGGGAGGCTCCCAGCGGTGGTGGCGGTAAGTGTGGCCGAGGATGCAGTTGAGGGCTCTCTGAATGGACACACCCCCAGAGGGGCACACCCCTCGTCATTCGGGCGCCTGGGTAGCTTTGTTAGGGAGGGATTTTTACTGTCATTTACCTTCTCTGCATCTTGAGCCCATCTTCTTTGTTTTAGTTTATGTGTTTGTGTGAGTGCTTACACATACATAGATATATATGTATGCATGCACATCGTGTGCGTGCCTGGTGTTGGAGAGTCCAGAAGAGGACATTAGATCCCTTGAAATTGGAATTAAATTGTGAGCTGCCATTTGGGTGCTGGAAGTCAAACCCAGTTCTTATGAAAGAATATCTGGTGGGGTAGGGTGGGGTGGGATGGCCCATACTTTTAATCCCAGCCCTCGAGAGGCACAGGCAGGCGGCTCTCCGAGTTTGAGGCCAGCCTGGTCTACAAAGAGAGTTCCAGGACAGCCAGGGCTACACAGTTCCTCAAAAAGTTGACAGTAGAATTGTTGACAGGAAACCCAGCATTCCCACTCAACATTACATAGCTAAAAGAACTGAAAAGTGTGTAGACACTTCTACAGCAAAGTCTATTGCAACATTATTCACAGTAGCCAAAAGTCAGTAACATCCCAAACACCTGTCAACAGGAATAGACAAGCAAAGGTGTAGTGTATCCATCCTGTGGAATAGTATTCAGCCATTAAAAGGAATGATACAATGTAGATCAGCCCTGAACAGTGCACTTAATCATGGAGTGTGGCAGTAAAGGACAAACAGCAGTGAGTCCTAGCACAGACAAGTCCACAGAATGAGCAAGCAGGTTCAAGGTCCCCGAGATCTAGGGAGGAGACAGAGCTGCTGCTTCAAAAACTGGTTTCTGTCTGGTTATCTTAGTTGGCCAGGACTGCTCTCTCAAGGCACTGTGACCCTTCAGTATCAGTGAGAGAATGCAGACTCCCTGTCTCCCCAAGAACGAGGATGCTCATGGCTGCATGGTGAAAGTGCAGGCTTGTGTAACCTGCACACATCTACCTAGATATCGTAAGGCGTTGAGGCACTGTGCTAGTTCATGCACATACAAACCACGTGACTCGCTTTCTTTGGAGAATATTGACGGGGAAGGTCTGTATGCGCGCAGCTCAGGTCCCATGTTCACGTTGTTTTGTCTCAGTGTTCGAGACAGGGTCTCTCTAGGCTATCCTGGAACTCACTGCGCAGGCTAAGCTGGCCTTGTCCTCAGGATGGTCTTCCTGTCTCAGCTTCCCAAGTGCTAGGAATACAGGCGTAAGCCACCATGCCTGGCTGTTTTGAAATATTTTCATATGTACTTGAAGCATCTGGTAGATTCCTTAGGGACAGTGGGCTGGCTGTCAGCGACAGTGGTAGCTCAGCAGACAGAAATGTGTGTTGACCGTTTCAAAGGCTAGAAGTCTGAGGGCTGAGGGATCTGAGGGCCATCTGAAGGTCCTGGGTGGAATGTGTCCACGGCAGCACAACTCCAGTGGTCGTGTGGCACCTGGGTCTCCTATTGTATGTATGTATGTATGTACACATGTATGTATGTATGTGTTTGTATGTATGCATGTATGTGTTTGTATGTGTGTATATGCATACATGTATGTAAATGGACAGCAATGGTGGGGTGGGATCCACCATTCCAGTGTGACATTATAACCCACCTACAGCCACCTGTGTCCAAATGAAGTCATGTTCAACATGGGGAATTTGGGGAGATACAAGAGCGATGAAAAGATTTACGGTGACAGTGCACCATAGCATGAATGTAATCCATGTTCCCAGAGCATATCTTTAAAATGGCTAAGGTGGGCAGGACGAGCTCAGCTGGCACAGTGCCCCCTGACACGTTCAGAGGCCTGGGTTAGATCGCAGCGTTGCATAAAATTGGACCTGGTGGCCGTATCTACAGTCCTCACACTTAGAAGACAGGCAGGAAGACTGTGAGTCGGGTCTAGCCTGTGCTACATAGTGAGACCTGCCCCCATCTAACAAAGGGAGAGTGCTTAGCTAGCATGCCCAAGGCCCAGGGCTCATCCGTAACACCTACAGAGCAAAAAGCAAACAAAGATTAAAGTAATATTTCAAGTAATATATATTTTGTTAAAAACGAAAAGGAAACCATAAATGCAAGGCAGGTAGGGCTGATCCCACCTTCTGGCCCCACGGCACAGACGGGATTGTGGCACACACATACACGTAAACTAAAACTGGATGTGGTGTCACACACCTGTAACCCCAGCACTCAGGGAGGCAGAGGCATGCGGAGCTCTGTGAGTTTGAGGCCAGCCTGGTCTGCAAAGCAAGTTCAGGACCACTAAGGCTACACAGAGAAACCCTGTCTTGAAAAAATATGAATGAGTGAATGAATGAATGAATGAATGAATGAATAAGTTGGACTTGAGCTGGGCAGTGGTGGCACATACCTTTAATCCCAGCACTAGGGAGGCAAAAGCAGGTAGATCTCTGAGTTTGAGTCTGGCCTGATCTACAGAGCAAGTAAAGGGGAGGGGTGAATTTAGGCAGGAAGGTGACCTGGCTTGCTTTGCGCCAGGGAAGCTCCTGTGCTAATGAGCACCATAATACGGGAGGGACCTTGAGAGCTTACATCACCGCCCAGTGCCTGTGTGTCCCAGTGCCTGTGCACCCCTGACTGGGTCTTCCCTTCAGGGAGCGGGAATGGTCTCAGCAGCCCCAGTCCTTTGGAATATAGCCCTCGGTCCCAGGCACCATCTCCAGGGCCCATCACCTCCCCAGCACCTCCAGACTTGGACCCAGAGGCTGTGCGTGATGCCCTCCGAGACTTTCTGCAAGAGCTGCGGAGTGCCCAGCGGGAGCGGGTGAGGCTGGTGGAGATGGCTGGTGGGGAGGCCAGGGCCCAGGAAAGAAGAAGCTGTGGTGGAGAGCAGGGGTCTTCCTCTCCCCTCTATGTTGGGGCTACAGGATGAATTTAAGGTCCAGACCAGCACCCTGAGTCAACAGCTGGCTGAGGTGGAAGCAGAGAGAGACCGTGCAGTCTCAAGGGCCAAGCAGCTGCAGAAGGCGGTGGCTGACAGCGAGGAAGGTGAGTCTTCCCCCGGGGCCCTCTGCCCTCTTACACTTCTAGCAGCTGAGGTGGGAGGCTAGAGAATCGGTGTCAGAGACCTTCCCTGGGCAGCCCCGAAGGGCCCAAACCTACAGGCCCTCTGGGGAACAGGCAGAGCTTGGAGCGGGTGGGCTACAGATCGGGCCTTCCTGGCCTGGTTCAGGGCCTGGGCCTGCCACGCCTGATGGGATTGGGTGGTGGCTACAGCCTGGCGCAGCGCAGACAGGCGGCTGAGCGGAGCCCAGGCAGAGCTGGCCCTTCAGGAAGAGAGTGTGCGGCGTAGCAAGCGGGAGTGCAGGGCTACGCTGGACCAGGTGGCAGTGCTGGAGAGGAGCCTGCAGGCCACCGAGAGCGAGCTCCGAGCCAGCCAGGTAGGCAGGGTGGTGGGCCCATGGAGCAGGCCCCAGCGTCCTCTGCGGTCCTCTGCCTGAGTCACAGCTTACAGGGACAGTCTGTGGCTCTTTCCATTGAGCAGACTCTAGGCCGCTGTTGAGTGTTCAAGTGCTTCAGGGAGAAGGGCTTGGGCCTGAGTCAGAGAGCAGGGTCAGAGTTGGCCTGGAACAGCCTGCTGTCCAACTGTCGCCCCTTGGGTGAGGGCCACCTGCAATTGCTACACAGAGGCAGAACCCATAAGCTTTTGGCCAGGCCCTGTATCTCTGCACTATTGCTGGTACAGTTTTTGATGTGTAGGTTTCCACATGTCTGTGTGTCCAGGGCCAGAAGCCTGGGCCTTGGGTGATGACAGTCCGGCCTCGCACAGCTGAAGCCCCCTGCTCTATCTGGCTGCCCCCACCCCCGCACTCCTGTCTCTGCCGGGGACAAAGCTGGAGCTATATTGTTGTGTCTGCAGCTTCAGCTCTGGCTTTTGGCCCAGCAGCCCCTGGGGCCTGGGAGGAGGCCAGGAACAAAGCTGGGTGAGAGCCAGAGTGGGGCCCCTCTTCCCTCCAGGCCAGACAGAGCAGGGAGGGGCTTGAAGAAGCATGAAGCAGGAGGCTTTAGTGACACCCAGGACCAATGAGTCTCTGGGGTACTCGTGTGGATTGAATGGACCCAAGTTCCTTCTGTCCTTTGTCCACTCTGCAACCCCCTTCACCCAGCCCTGAGCCGGGGACGGGGAGTCATTCATTAGAATCCTGAGCGGCCCCGCTCCTCAGCAGTAGCTGCCAGGCTCAGCTCCGGTTTCAGCTGTGCTCTGGCCTTTTCTGGAAAGCCCTTTTGTGGAACAGGGCAGGTTCCAGCGTCTACATTCTGCAGCCCCTCCCCAAGGATCTTATGAGTCCCCAGGTAGTGCCACTTCTGGACCAGTCTCCCAGTACAGACATGAATGGGAGCCAGAGTGGGAAAAGTACATCCTGGCTCATAACACATAAGACTTCACTTGAACAAGACAGTTCTCGGACCCTTACGTCAGCTCAGCCTGTGATAAATGGGGAAACTGAGGTCTCAGCAGCGACAGGCTGGTCCTGGGTCACACAGTCCTTGAGGCTGACCCTACTTTGTCCCAATGGTACAGAGGAGTGTGGGGAGGGGTGGGCAGGCGTTGGGGCTGAGCCTTGCTACCTACAGGAGAAAGTCAGCAAGATGAAGGCCGCCGAGGCAAAGTTGGAGAGCGACAAGCGGCGGCTGAAGGAGGTGCTGGATGCCTCCGAGAGCCGTTCCATCAAGCTGGAGCTGCAGCGGCGTGCTCTTGAAGGCGAGCTGCAGCGCAGTCGCCTCGGCCTGGGTGACCGAGAGGCCCATGCTCAGGCCCTCCAGGATCGAGTCGACTCTCTGCAGAGACAGGTGGGCCCCTCTTCCTCTAAGCCACACCTGCATGCCCTGTGCCGGGCTCTCTCCAGGTATCGCGCAACTCCCAACTCTGTGAGGCAAGCGTTTTCACCCTCAGGTTTCAGAGATGGGCAGAGTCTCATCTCAGAGTGGTAATGTCCTTGCCCGTCACAAAGCCAAGTTGACAGGGCTCAGGATAGGGTGGTTAGCCCTTAGTGGGGTGAGGCCAGGCTATAGTAGGCTGAGCCAGTGGGAGGTCATGCCAACGGGAAGTATGGATAAGGCCCCGAGAGAAGTGAGAGGATCGTGGGTAGCAGTCATGGTGGAGATCACAGCAGGAAGAGAACCTTGACCGTCCTCTACCTCCCTGACAGGTGGCGGACAGCGAGGTGAAGGCAGGGACCTTGCAGCTAACGGTGGAGCGGCTGAATGGGGCACTAGCCAAGGTGGAAGAGAGCGAGGGGGCCCTGCGGAGCAAGGTGCAGAGCCTGACAGATGCCCTGGCCCAGAGCAGTGCCAGCCTCACCAGCACCCAGGATAAGAATCTGCACCTGCAGAAGGCCCTGAGCACCTGTGAACATGACCGCCAAGTGCTCCAGGTCTGGGGCTCCAGGGTCTGGCATATGTGGTTCTTCCACTGAGAGTTAGCAGTAAGAGCAGCTGTGGAGGGACCTGACAGTAGCTAGTGGGGCTGTCAGCCAGGAATCCTGAGGACCATCGAGAACAGGGCTTGAGGTAGGAGCGGGTCAGAGAAACTAGTCAGTCATGAAGCTTAGAGGGGGTGCTGCCCAGGGAGAGAAGAAGCCTGTCAGCGGAGGTCCTAGGTGCAGTCTGGGATGTGAGTGCTGTCACCATCAGCCAGGTCAGTGGACATGCCTGGCAACAGGCAGGACCAGTTAGGTACTTGATCCTCCCGATGGGTAGACTCTGAACCTCCGGAGAACTGGAGACTAGAGGGAAGCCTTTGGTCAGGCTGGCAATCTGTCTCCCAGGAACGGCTGGATGCTGCCAGACAGGCCCTGTCTGAAGCTCGGAGGCAAAGCAGCTCCCTGGGTGAACAGGTGCAGACTTTGAGGGGTGAGCTGGCCAACCTGGAGCTACAGCGGGGTGATGCTGAAGGCCAGCTGCAGCAGCTGCAGCAGGTGAGGCCTGGAGGGCCTCTCTCTACAGGGGTGCCCCATGTGGCCCTTGGCAGAGGGTGGGGAACCCCTCTCAGTTTCACCCCAAACCTTGACCCAACCACCAGTGAAGAACCTTGGCTCATCTGACCCACACTCACGCGGGCCTTGTCACCTACTCCGTGAGTGGTCACCCTGAGGTGCAGTGGGATGATGGGCTGCTGGCTTGCGGTGCAGGCGCTGCGACAGCGGCAGGAGGGCGAGGCCATGGCCCTGCGCTCTGTCCAGAAGCTTCAGGAGGAGCGGCGGCTGTTGCAGGAGCGTCTGGGCAGTCTGCAGCGTGCGCTGGCCCAGCTGGAGGCTGAGAAGCGTGAGGTGGAGCGGTCAGCGCTGCAGCTCGACAAGGACCGTGTGGCACTTAGGAAGACGCTGGACAAGGTGGCCTGCTCTGCCGGGGGGTTCCTGTGACTCCAGTGTGCCACCTCTCCTGATGTCAGATCACCCGACAGCGGCTCCTACGAGCCCCCTGTGAGCCCCTCCACTCCATATTCCTACCAGGTGGAGCGGGAGAAGCTTCGAAGCCATGAGGACACGCTTCGGTTGAATGCAGAGAAGGGCCGCCTGGACCGCACACTCACGGGGGCTGAGCTGGACCTGGCCGACGCCCAACAGCAGGTCCAGCATTTGGAGGTCATCCCTGCCCCTCCCCTGGCCTGGTCCCCAGTGCCATTCCCATGCTGAGTGCAAGAAGCTGGGGGGTGCATATGCCAGCAGGGGAGCCTAGAGCCTTTGGGAGGGTGCTCCCCTGCAGGAGAGAGACTTTGAGGCTCATTAGTATTTAAGCCTGTGATGCCTGTGTGCAGTGGATGTGTGGAAGTCTGAGTGTCGGTGGGTGCTTGCTTATGGGTACAGCATGAACCTCATGGGAGCGTGTCCTGTGTCCGTGTCAGTGTTTTCACACGTGCAGATGTTAGGCTGGCGTGCCTTTGTATCCGTGTGTGCTTCTGTGCAAACAGGCTCGCTTTTGACCCTGGGTGTGTGGAGGCCAGGCACTGGTGGAGTATTTTTAAGTGCATGCCTGCCTGAGTGGGCGTCACCGGGGCCCCGAGCCAGGATTGGAAGGCCCACTGTCAGGGCCAGCGAGATGAGGGATGAGCGCATACCACTGTGCACACCAGGCTTGAACCCTGATGGGAGTCCCTGTCTGTAGGCACAGGTGGTAGCCCTGGAGCGGAACCACAAACCGGTCCAGCTGGAGGCAGACCAGCAGCAACTGGAGCTACAACAGGAGGTTGAGCGCCTGCGCAGTGCCCAGGTGCAGACGGAGCACACACTGGAAGCACGGGAGCGAGCCCACCGCCAGCGAGTCTCTGGGCTGGAGGAGCAGGTACGAGGGCCTCCCTGGGAGAAGACGGAGCCTGGGCGGAAGTGTGGGGCTGGAGGAGAGGGCTGGTCATGACCACTGTAACTTGAAAAGGGCCGAAAAGATCGATGCTGGTACCAGCCATGGCTGGAGAGATACGACTTCGGCCCCAGTGTCTCCTGGCCTAAGGCTCGGTCTCTGCCATCAGACCCTCCTCCAAGGCACGCCTGCCTTAACAACCTGGGATCCCAGGAGAGAAGGGGCACTTTTCCAGGAACACTGTTAAGAGCCCAAGATATGAGGCTTACTGGCCAGTGAGGTCACTTAGGGCCCTTCTGGCTGTGCCTAGAGCAGAGCTTAGCTGCTTGGATAGGCCCACTCCTGCTAGAGTCTGGCCCAGCCAGCTCTTCCTTGCCTCTCTCTGGCGCTTCATGGGACAAGGTCCCCTCTGGATAGTGCTAGGGATGATAGACAGCTTGATAACATGGCAGACCTGGGAGTGGACACAGGGTTCTAGCTCTGTGCAGTGATGCTGGGCAGAGCTGCCTCACATGGCCGAGCCTCTGACGGGATAAGGGTGCATAGCATACAGACACCTAACTGCCAGGATGGGCAAAATGAGCGCAGGCTTTCCCACTCTGAGGCAGCAGGTGGAGGCTGCTGACTGGGTCCTTCCCTCCTCCAGGTGTCCGTGCTGAAGGCACAGCTGCAGCAGGGGCTTCGAAGGCGCTCAGGATCTGTCTCCCCACCCTCTGGCACCTCAAAGACATGAGCCCCTTCTAGCTGGCATCCTGAGCAGAGTCCCCTGGGCACGAGAGAAGGGCCCTTTGTAGCACAGCCTGCTGTCTGAGGAAGCCGGGGTGGCAGAGATGAGGGGGCCACGGTAGCCAGGGTCACACAGGTGGTCAGAGTTGCTACACCACCTGTGCCACCCCAGGCCCTCTCCTAGAAGAGCCTGCTGATGGCCCAAGGCTCTGCTGCTGGGCTGACCCTGCCACGCTCAGGGAGAGAGCTTGTTTCTGCCAGCAGTGGAGCAGAGCTTCCCCCGAAAGGACACCTAAGCAGGGCCCCTCTGGGGAGCTCGCCCTTGGGTTCTTTTAGGAAGCTCCTTAGGAAGCTTAGAGCCCTTGTATTTTTGTACCTTTTTATGATGTTAACTGTGGAGAACTCCTATGCTTTTTGTAACATGACCTGTTTTCTAGAATTGTCTGTACACACAAATGCTTCTTCCGTCTGGGGGTTGCTCGGGAGAGCAGGGGCAGAGGCTCAGCAACCTCACAGGGCCTGAGGGGGGTCCCTCTCCAGCAGATGGTGCTATGCCCACCCCACGAGCTCAGGTCCTTCTCTGGATAGTGCCAGGGCTTGGTAACAGGGCGGGGCTGGGGCAGACAGTCTTGCCCTGGCTCTGTCGAGCGATGTTGGGCAGAGCTGCTCCATGTGGCAGAGTTACACGTGTGGAGTAGGAACCCTTGTCCTGGTGTGGCGACAGTGAGGCTCACAGAGCTCAGCATCTCCAAGACTGCTCTGCTCATTCTCTTCTCTCAGAGTCCCATAGCCAGGCCCTGCCCTTGGCGCCCACTGCTGTGAGCCTCTGGGTGGTCACTTAACACTGTCATTTGGGGACAGTGATTTTACCTACTGGACCTGTCAGGAGGGGCACCTGGGCCGGCATGGGGAGCACCGCAGAGTGGTCGTGCTGTTCTCGAGTACACATGGGGAGCTGCATCTTGGGAGGGAGTGTCAGGGTCCATGCCTCTGGGTGGTCAGATGGAGCCGGGGCTGGAGTAGGTGGGTGTGGGGCATAGAAGTAGAGATGCCTGGCACTCCCTTCTAAGGAGCGGGGTAGCCTCGTAGGGACCGGCAGTACTGGTGGTGGTCAAGTTGTCCTTGGACCCAAAAATGACTATGGGTCTTCTGTAAAAACTTTATTATTTTGTATAAAACAGACTTGGTCCATGCCTGGGAGTGTAGGAGATCCAAGCAGACCAGCTGGGTGAGGGCACAGCCTACCTGAGGAGACTGAGAAGGAAGGACTACCCCCAAGGCACTGAGAAGGCACATTGAGAACCCCAGGCTCCACATGGGGCCTTCCATGAGCCCCACTAGGGGGTGGAGACTGGACAGTCAGGAGCCCCCATTTCAGGGATGGCCACAGGCTGGGGAGGGGCCCGAGGCAGCTCTGGTCACTTCCAGGACAGCAGTACACTGATGTCCAGGATGAAGGGGAGGGCAGGATGGGAAAAGCACCAGGTCAGGCGGGGCCTGAGGTGGATCTGAGCTTCGTCCAGGGCTCAGATCCCATACCAGCTCCACCCTAGCAGCCCCCACAGCTCCTGGCACAGGAGACAGCCACAGATTGGCACAGGCCATTGACGGCCATCACGCCACACTTGGAGAACTTGTCCCGGCACAGGTCAGCTGTTGGAGGGAGGGGAAGTCAGGATGGGAACCCATTACCCCATACTAATGATGGAGGCGGGGGAGCTTGCAGCATCCTACAAATGGGTCTGAGCACAACCCCTGCCAAACGTTATAGATAGAACATGGCCAGGTAAGGACGTGGGTGGTGGGTGCTGCCAGGACAAGGGGTGGAGGCTTTCCTACCTCGGAGAAGTTCCTCGTGGGCACAGACTGTGCGGACACATATTTCCTTGTTGACGACATACACCCGGCGGAGGCTGGGGGATGACCAGGGAGCTGTCAGCCACACCCTCACCTGCTCCCATTGGGAGAGCCCAGGAGTACAGGCCACCCCCAGAGCTGAGCCCCACGTGAGGGTTCAGCGCCTGCGCCTCCACACCTTCCCGCCCCTAGAGTCCCTACCCCGAGCCCTCACCTGTAGAAGCAGACCTCGTTCAGACACTGTTTACAAGGCTTGTGGATAGAGTAGAGGCGGGTGCACGGGTACTGCTCCTCACGGCAGTCTGAGGGCAGAGTCGGGGGCTCACAAGGGGTCCCCGTGCACCCTCAGGCTGCCCAGACACCCACACAAATCAAGCACCCAGGTAGCACAGGGCCGCTCAGCGTCCTACCGTACACAGTCACAACCCCAGCTGGAACACAAATGGACAGCTACCCCACTTGGTCACTGGATCATCACACTAGCTCACAAGCCGCTCTCTAGCCCACCGTAGCCAACTCAGCACACACAGGTGGGCTCAGATTCTTCAGGGCCCTCCTCTCAGGGTGGCACTCAGTCGGGCTGGGCTTGCTGGCCCTCCTTCACCTGCCCACAGGCACCACCCAGTCCAGGCTGTGAAACCAGCACAGTGCTGCCCCCCTCCCCCCCCAGTCTCTGGCCAGATGTTAGTGGGGATATGGGGTGGGCTAGCCTAGGCTCTGGTCAGATGCTAGTGGGGATCAGGGTGGGCTAGCCCAAAGCTGCCTAGTGGCATGTCTGCCAGCCCCCCCCCCCCCCAGCATCCCACTGTTGCTCAACCCAACTCCCAGCGCAAGGCCCTCCCCTTCTGGGAATCACGCCAGCTTCCTCCAGCTTCCACAGGGTTCTTACCAAGAGGCCCGGGCTCCGTGGGCTCAGTCTCCAGATCCCCTGCACCTGGCAGTTCTGGTGTGGGGAGATAAGCAGGGGTCACCAGGATGGATCTGATAGGGTAAGGGGCACCCACCCGTCTCAGGGCTGGGCCAAGGGAGACAGCATTACCCGGGGTGGGGGCCGGAATGACTTCCTGTGGGACTTGCTGCTGGGACTGGAACTGTTCCTCAGGGGGCCGAGGACTCACTTCTGCAGTGGAGGGGGGTTCGGAAGGAGGCGTCTGCTCACTCTCCCTTGTAAGGTACCCACCAGTCCCCACCGGGCAGCCAGCCCTGCCGTCCTACCCCAGACCTTTACCTTGGTAGTCATAGTAGTCTGCGTTGTCTGGAAGTAAAAAGGGAACAAAATGGGCAGGGTCAGCCAGTCCATGGTCCCAGGAGAGTGGGGCCAAGGGTCACAAATGAGCCAGGGACCTGCCCCTGGGATGCCTATCACCCCACAGAAATGGGGCTGACCCACATGTGGGGGGGCCGGCAGGTAGGCATGGCCACACTGGGGCTTATCTCTTACCAATCTGGTCTCCATAGTGGTTGTACTGGACATGGTCCGGGAACGGGGGCAGCGGATCCAGGTCATATTGGCCCTGAGCCAGCAGGCCTGCCGAGGGGAGGGGTCACATGTGGCCACCCCACATTGCAAGAACAAAGAGAAAGCAGGTGGTGGTGGCCCTAACCTTACAGCCTGACTTGACCTCACAGAATTCAAACTCTAGGTCCTGGGTCAGTTCCCTGCCCTTGCCTGACCCCTCTGCCCTGGACGGCCTTCTGGCTGCTCCAGGAATTCTCACGCTCCTGTCTGCCTCTGAGCCTTTCACAGGCCTCTTCCCAGGCCGGCTCCAGGTCTGCCGGGCCTATCCCTGACCCACCTCCCCTGCTGTGTGTTTCTGTCATAGCACTCAACAGCATCTGAAATTTACCAGGTCAGCTTGTCTGATAGTTGCTTCTTCCCTAGTCTGGCCACGTGGGGGCTGGGTGTGTCCGCCTAACTCACAGCTGTATCTTGGTACTCGGCTCACAGTAGGAAGTCAACGCAGTCATGTTCGGCGCCTCCTAGGTCTGGCAGGGCCTTGGTCCCCAGTGAGCTCTCCTCATGTGATGGATAAGACCCTCTCTAAAGCCAGGACTGTACAGAAGGGTAGAGCCCAACCAGGTCTAGCACCCAGTGCCTGGGCTTCCTGCCTTGAGGCTCCTTCATTGTGTGGGACGGGCCTGACGCAGGGTGAGGAGCTGGACAGCAGAGTTTGGCCATGAAGTAAGACAGACCCTCACATGGGACCCACCCCACCAGCTGCTTACCAGGCATGAACAGCAGGAAGAGGCAGGCAGCTCTCATGGCCATGGAGTGAGGAGGCTGTGGCGGCTGGAGGGGGAGGAGAGGAGAGCCAGCTGCATGCCAGCCCAGCTAGCCCAGGATGGCAGAACACGTTTTTGTCCCTGAGCTCAGTCTGTGCAAGGGCCACTCAGAGCCCGGCATCTGGAGGGGGAAGGGACATCCGAGTCCCTGCTTGTGCGAGGGGGGAGGCTTTAAACCACGTTCCAGGGCTCAACTTTTTTTTTTTTTTTTTTTTTAAAGACTGGGTCTTGCTGGGAGGCAGTAGCACACACCTTTAACCCCACAACTCCTGGAGGCAGAGGCAGGTGGATCTCTAAATCTGAGGCCAGCCTGTCTACAGAGTGAGTTCCAGGACAGCCAGGGCTACAAAGAGAAACTCAGTCTTGGGGAAAAAAAGCAAAGCTCCTAATTTACCAAATGGACAGATGCTGCTCCCTGAGGAGACAGCTGTAATAGCCACTCACCCTGAGCTGGCTGTGCCCTGCACACTTACTCACCTCTGGCCCATCACCTTCTGATGTGCCATGCGAAGTCCAGCGACCTCAGGCTCATCCTCCGGGTACCAGCCCTGCCCAGCCCACACCACAGCCAGCCACCGGCTCAGCAGCATTTGCCAGGCCTGCCACCTGCTCCCAATTAGCCTCTGGGCCCTGAGCATGCCGCTCAGCAGGAAACCACATGCATGCAGGCCCCAGGAGCCCCCAGAGCAGCCAGGGCTGGGCAGTTCTCCCAACTCCAACTCCTGCCAGGTCCGGGCCTCCCAAGACCTGGCTGTCTTCACTACAGACGCACACGCACGAGACTGAGGCCTGTTTGTCTGCAGCAGCAGGAAGCGTGGGGAGGAGATGAGGGTGTCTCTGGCTCCCAGCACGCTAACGGGGAGAGGTGAGGTCACTTGGCTCCCGGGCTCAGAACCCTTGACATGACAATGGAGTATAGTTTTGGAGACGGCACTGGTCCATGCCTTGCACAAAGTTCCTAATGCCCAGGAACCCCTTCGTGGGTCCAGCCTTCGGTGCTGGCTGGAGTCGGCTGGCAATGCCCTGTCCTCCTCAGTGGACAGTGAGCCCACAGGCTCATCCATCCCGAGGACTCCCGACCCAGCATGGAAAGTTCTTCCACACAGCTTGAACCCCAACTCTGATGCAGGACACTCCCCTTCCCCAGGAAAGGGGGAGAACAGGGGAAGTGCAGAAACAGAGAAGAGAACCTCAGTTTCCCCAACCCTGAGGTTTCTTGATACCTTGCCCTTCTCAGATATCTCACTTAGGAGGCCAGAGGCCCGTGCCACTTTATATCCTTCCTGTGGTGACCACTGCTCCAAACTCCCCACATTCCCATTCTTTGAACTCTGGGCAGCCTCACGGAAGGGGGCCACCAGGTCCCAACAGACTGGAGGCTGAGCAGAGTCCCTGTGCCGGAGGAGGCACTGAGTGGCCGCCAGTGTGTCAGAGCCTTCCTCCCACACTCTCGCCCAGGCCCAGGCATATGGCTGGGATTGGGGCTCATTGGTTAGTTCTGGCATGAAGAAGAGAATAATGAATTGCTCCCAGGGGACAAGGAACAGTCGGGATGGCTGCTCTGCCCCCACCTCTGGCCCTTTCCACAACTTCAGCTTTCCCTCGGTTCCTCTGTGGTTCTGGGGGGCCAGGACCCAGAGCCCCCTCGCTGGCTCAGACCGAGGGGGCCCCTCCAGATGCTGCAGTCCTGCCACACAGCTGGGAACAATCAGCAGCGGAAACTTGCTGAGGCGCTGGCTGGCTCTTCACCTCGGGTCTCTCTTTGTCTCTGTGTCTGACCCCTGCCCCACCCTCCCCATCCCATACACTGGAGGGGGGGAGCACAAAAAACCGCCCTGTCCCCCGGCACCCCATCTCTTGTGAACCCTAAATTCAAGCTCCCTGCCAGTCCTATCTTGCACCCCCCAACTCGCCAGATGCCCCCTCAGCATCCGCTCCTTATCCCGGGGCCAGGGTCCCCGCAGTCCTCCCTCGGGGATCGGAGTACAGAGCGTGGCGTCCCGACACCCCTGGGTGCGCCCAGCCCACGCCTACCTGTTGGGGCCCCCGCACGGTTCTCTAGTGAAGCTGAGAGTGCCGCCTGCCGCCCGCAGCCAGAGCCCCCCTACGGCCCCCAAGGCCCACGCCCGCCCTTAGCCCGGAGTCGCTGGGTCCTAGAGCGTGCCGTCACCGCCGCCACGAAGCACCCTCGAGGCTCTGGCCCCTCCCCAATGCTGCTAGGTCTGGGTCTGGGCCTGGTACTAGTAGAGCCAGAAGGCTGGTCACCCCCTTTCATGGAGGAATCTCAGCCTCTCCACCCAGAGCCCAGAGGTCACTGGGCTAGAAATGAAGCCTTGCTTGTTTCCTGCCATTTCTCTCTTCTTCCTTTGCTTTCTCTCCTTCCTTCCTTTGCTCCTCAATATGACCCAGGGCAGATCATAATCAACAAACACTCAAGTCTAATTTCACAAACCCCCAAAACTGATCTGACAACCACCCAACACTGTCTGATTTGACCCTGGGAGTTGACCTTAATCCAGGGACAGCCCCACAATTTTTCCCTTAGCCTCCCTCTGCCCACAGTGCCCCAGACACTAATTCTTATCTTGGAAGTCCAAGTTTGGCTCTCAAGGGACCCCAGTTTTCTGAATGACCTGCACTGCCTTGCTCCGTGTAGCTACTAAAATATAACAGGGACCTTGTCAGCTAGGGAGTGGGATCTCTGGGGCGCCCGCCACCTGTCTCTTGTTGTCAGGCTTGTTGTCCCACTTGGGTAGGGAAGGGAATCCACCTGACAGAAATGGTGCCTTCTGTACTTGACAAAAAGGGGAAACTGGGGCCCCACAGCCACCACTGTCAAGGCACTGACTAGAATCTGCGCTGCTCCGGCCCACTCCCCTGGCCCACAGGTGAGGGTTAGGGTTAGGGCTCTGTTCCTGGATGATCCCCCACCCAGAGTTAGAAGCTATGAGACATCACTTTTTCTCTGCTTTGGACTTGAGGCTGGGCACATGCCTGCCCAATGGACCCGTGGAGGATCACCAACCTTGGCATCTTGACTATGGTGGTTTGAATGAAAATGTCCCCCACAGGCCCATATGGAGGAGCACTATTAAGATGTGTAGCCTGGAGCACACCTGTAATCTCAGCACTCAGGCAGGCAGAGGCAGGAGGGTCTCTGTGAGTTCGAGGCCAGCCTGGTCTACAAAGTGAATCCAGAGAAACCCTGTCTTGGGGGGAGGGGGGGGGCGCGGGGAGGAAAGCATGGCCTGGTTGGAGGAAATGTGTCATGAGAGCAGGAAACAAGGGTCTGGGGATTGGGGTGGGCTTTGAGATTTCAGAAGCTGATGCCTGGCCCAGTGCTCACTCTTCCTGCTGCCTGTAGATCGAGATGTAGAATTCTCAGTTCCCTCTCCAGCAACATGTCTGTTGGCATGCTACCATGCTTCCCACCGTGATAATGGACTAAACCTCCAAACTGCAAACCAGCCCCGATAAACGTTTTTCTTGATAAGAAAATGCTGTGGTCAGGCCAGGTGGTGCTGGTGCATGACTTTAGTCCTAGCATCTGAGAGGCAGAGGCTGATGGATGTCTCTGGGTTCAAGGCCAGTCTGGTCTACACAGTGAGTTCCAGGACAGCCAAGGCTATACAGAGAAACCCTGTCTAAAAAAAAAAAAAAAAAAAAAATTAGCTGCTGTGGTTGTGGTGTCTCTTCGCGGCAATGGGACAGTGACTAAGACACTGATCTTGTCCAGCCACAGCACAGTGCTGCCTCTAGGTGCAGGGCTTGCCTTTTCAGCCTAGCCTGCCCCAACATCCCCAGAGCTACGAGTGGCTACGAGTGGCCTGTGGATGGAGGCGGCTAGGAAGAGGAAGCAGCCCTCCTTTCCTGTCCTCCCTGCGCCGAGGAGCCAAGCCAACTTGCGTCTCCAGGGCAGAGGAGCCTGGCCAGCCGCCCATGGTGGGATGAGATCAGATGCACCCACCCTTCCCAGGGGACAGGGCTTGTGGTTCTGGCTGGAAGACCTGGGTTTAGAGCCTGCCTTTATCTGAGGAACCAGACCACAAACACATCCCAGGAAGTGGGAGTGGCAGGCAGAGAGGACAGGCCACCAGTGAGGTGGCTCTCAGGCTCTACAAAGCCCCCACTTGAGGCAAGCGCGTGGCTCCTCCCTCCTGCTGGGGTAGGAGGGCTGGGAAGAGGGAACCTCAGTGCAGCCGCTGTTGTGACCTCAGCCTCAATTGAGCCACGACAATCTATAAGACGGGGTTGGACTGTCAGCTATAGGGCACCAGATAGCATGAATAGGAGGCTAAGCTGTATGTGACGTGTATGCCGCCCACACTGGGAAGCATGGTGTCAGATGAAAAGGACACTCAGAGAGGTGACCAGTGTGACCAGGAAGGGTGAACATGGAACTTGGGCAGGACACACCACAATGCCTACATTACATGACCAGCGTTGCCAGGGCAGGAAAATCACCACTTTATTTGCTACGCTGACAGCAGCTCTGCCTAAGTCAGTAGCTGCTATGTCTACACAGGATGGTCTGAAGTGGGGGCAACAGTCAGCACTTCCCCAGGCAGGTGTGTCCGGGCAGGAGCGTGACAACTGCCAAACTCAGGGCTGTGGGAGGCGTTGATGGGTACTGTCTCTAGAGATGGGTCCAGTTACGGCTCAGGGGCAGGGGGATCCAGTGTCCAGCATGCCCTGTAGGCCTACGCTACCTCACGGAGTTGATGGGCAGAGTGGGCCAGGGTTGTTCAGCCAGCTCCCGTTCCAGCCGCTTGAACTGCTTCTTGGAGGCCCGTTTAGGCCGGAACCGCTGCAGGCAGGCTGGGAGACACTGGTCCAGCACACTCTGCACAGGGTAAGGGAACGCTGTGGAGGGACACTGGGGCCTGGGTCCTTCCTCCACATCCCTCCACGGCTTCCATCAGTTCGGGGCCTACCTCCAGCATGAAAGCTCCCACGAAGTTGAAGGCGACCAGACCCAGCAGCAGCAACTTGAAGGAGCTGTCTGCAATGTTCCTCAGTCCTAGAGGCCCCTGCAGGAGGCCGGGGACCAGGATGAGGCCCACCAGGACAGAGCCCAAGAGCGCCAGGGCCACCAGGAAGGGCACTGGGGGTGGGGGAGTCTGTCAGCAATGGCGCTATGCCCTGGGATGCATGCACGTGCACACACGCACACCCACACTCACACGCTCTACTTGGGGTCCCTTTTACATTCCAGCGGCCACCCCTCAGCCCCACCCCCAGCCCACCACGCGGCAGCACCGTTGGTGTAGAGCGGCTGGCGGAAGGGTGCCCCCTTGGACACGGCTGCGGCCAGGATGAGGTACTGGAAGCCAGACAGGGAGAAGACCACTGTGTTCTCATAGTTGGGCAGGTTGTCGGGTGCGGGCACAGTTCTGTTCAGAGGCACAAACCTGGGGACCGTGGCGGTGGGGTTATGGAAGGAGTGAGGGGTGCTAAAGGCAGGGACAGTGCTGGTACAAGGGACTCCACTACGTACCAGGGCTGGGCTATGACCAAAAAGTAGCCCCCAAGCTGGATGCCGGCCACCAAGGCCACCTGCAGCAGCAAACTGCCAAGTACAGGCACACTCAGTAGGGCTCCTGGTGGCCGGGCTCGCACCAACGTCCTCGCAGGGCCCGTGCGGCTCATGAGCACTGCCACTGTGGTGGTGATGACCAGGTCGATGGCTAAGAACTGTAGGTCTCCCAGGTTGGTGTTGATCTGTGGCGGGTGAGAGAAGGGAAGCTGAGGATCAGCTCTTGCAGAGCCCCCGGTCCTCACGGAACCTGGAAAAGGATCCTTCGGCTCTGTCCGGCCCAGCATCCTTAGCTGACACAGGTGGGCCTCAAGCTTGATGAAGGAGTTGTGTCCCAGTGCTCTATGGCCCCGTCGGATACACGCTGTCCTACCACCTAGTCTGATGTTGGGGTCTCTAGTTCCTGCGGAAGGCTGTTGTACATATAGCAAACACCCAGGCTGGCGGGGCAGAGGGGCTGCCTGTGGGGCCTGCCACACTGCCTCTGCTCTATGGAGACTCTAAGGTGGATATGGATCCGGCCCATTGCACCCCTGTGGTCAGGGGAGGCTTGCCCTGAGCAGGGCCAGGGAAGGCCCTGCGTCACTCTGCCTGGGTTCTGCCTCATTCTCCCCTGTGTGTGGCACCTGAGAGGCACACACACAGAGACTGGGAGCTTCGGGAGTTAGAGAGAGCTGTTAGCACACACCAGCGGCCCCACTTTTCAAGACCCGTATCCAGTGGTTTTGAACCACATGAGCATCACTGCCTGAGTCATGGCAGGCGAATGACAAGAGTCACACGTCCTAGAAGGTGCTGGGCTCCTGGCCTCACTGCGCCGACTTCTCCCTGGTGGGACACTGGTGGAGAGCAGGCTAGGGGTCGGGACTTTACTGCTGCTCACTGTGTAGAGAATCAGGACCGAGATGAACTGGGTCAGGCTGTAGAGGGCCATGTACTTAAAGACGCTGAACGAGGTGTCCAGAGAACAGCGGCCTTCCCTAGGGGCAAAGATGGACACCAGGGGCTCAGGCTGCGGACAGGCCCCGCCTCCCCTCCCCCGCCAGCCCCGCCTGCCTTACCTGATGACAGTGGGCACACACTCTATACTGGCCATGCTGGAGGTGAAGGGTGAGACCACCGAAGCCTCTGCTTGGGACAGCGAGATGCCCACATCAGCTGCCTTCAGGGCCCCACAGTCGTTGGCGCCATCTCCGCACATGCCCACACAGTACCTGACAGAAGAGAGGTGAGTAGATATGGCCTTTGAAACAATCCCATCCCCTCCTCAGGCTATCAGAGTCAAGCCGAATGACCAAGTGATAAATGAATGTAATTAGCTTTGGCACAACAGATACAGGACAGCCTGGCTGGGCACTTTTTTTAAACAGCTTTGGGATGGCTCCCAAGGTCTCTTAAACGCTAGATAGGCACTCTACCACACTTCCAGCCCAATCTGTGTTATTTACTATTTCTATGTTTGTTTATTTATTATTAAGACAGGGCCTTGCCCCTGGCTGGCTTGGAGCATACTAAACTATATCCTCAGCTCCGGTTTCCTGCTTGCCTGTGTGAATCACTCTACATAACACACACTGGCCTTGAACTAACTGCCATCCTCCTGCCTCTGCTTTCTAAATGCTGGGATTATAGTATATGCCAGCATACAGCATGCCCGGCTCCTGGGTGCTTCTGGAAGGTGAAGGGTAGCTAATGCCCGACGAGGGAAGTGGACAGATGGACACTGTCATCCCCGCTGGTCCTGCGGCGCCCCGGCACACAGCACTCACTGAAGCTTCTGCAGTTCACACACCAGCTCTGTCTTCTGCTCCGGGGCCATGCGAGCAAAGATGGTGGCCTGCACCAGGACCTGGAGCACGAGAGGGGAGGGCTGGAACATCACCTGGCGTGTGGAGACGGGCCGCACAAAGCCTCTCCCTGGGCAGCTCTACCTTGGGCAGCAGCTTGGGAAAGTGTTTCTGAAGGACAGCAAAAGTGGGCCCGCTGAGGGCCAGGTGACGGGGCTGGGGTTCCATCTCCACGGAATAGCCTGTGGCCTTGATGGGATCCTAGGGATCAGCAAGCTCAGTCAGTATGCCTTTCCCTCCCTGGAGAGCTGGGCTGGGCTCAGGGGACACGGCATCGAGGCATCGACGGGCAGGGAGCAGCCAGAGTTGGCGGGTCTGTCTCACCTGGGCCCCGTTCCAGACCGCACAGGGCTCGGGTGGCAGGAACTCAAGGGAGGCGGGCTGGCCGTGCTCAGGGTGCGTAGCGTGGACGAGAACCAGGTGCTCCTGGGTGCCCACCATACCACAGCCTCTGGCCACGGTGACTGCTGTCTGCAGGTTGTCCCCTAGGGGTGTGAGGCATGGTGAGCTTCTTATACTGTCCAGGTCCTTGTCACCCTAACCCTTACAGGTAAACCATCCAGGAGTACTGTCGACCGAGGCTGAGCGGGGCAAACTAGCCATGTCCCCAGACCTGTTTCTTCAGTGTAAATGGAGCCACTAGACTCAGAGGAGCGACTGGGGGCCGACTCCAGCGGTGCACTTCCCATGTGGCTGCGCGGATGGGGCACCGCGGAGGTGTGCTTGTGAGTGAGCGCAGGACTGGGGTGTGTGAGAAAGACAGACTGCCCGCTGAGGCCCTTTTACTCCAGAGGGAATCCTCGATTTATGAGACCATCGCAGCCTTCTCGCCTGACGCTAGGGAACCCAGAGTGGTGACATCCTGGTGGTCCAACAGGTGAAGAGCTGCGCTCTTAGGAGCTCATTCCACTCTGAGCCCCAGTGACCTCATCTGTCAAATGCAGGTGACAATGACACGTCATGGATACTGTGAAAAGACTGGAAAGGGACTGGCTCCAAAAAGATGCTGCACAGGGGATGCCGGGAAGCCACCTTTTGGCCAGGCCAGGGCAGGCTGTGTCCTCCTCACAGATCCCCGGGGCCATAATACCTGTCACCATAATGGTACGGATGCCCGTCCTCCTCAGGGTCTGTATAACTTTGGTCGTCTGCGGCTTCAGCAGGTTCCGCATGACCAGCAGCCCCAGGAGGCTCAGCTCCTGCTCCACGGTGTCCCTAGAGGGTGGGATCTCTGGGTAAGAGGTCAGGCAGGAATCAATGGCCCTCTCCCACTGTCCAGGCGGGGGCACTTGCCTGGGCTCAGCACCTCCCTCCAAACACCCCGGGGGTGGGTTCACCTTGTCAGCTGCCGAGCGGCCTCGAGGCTGGGTGCAATGGCCAGTGGCTTGCCAGCCAGGGCCACAACTCGGTAGCCAGCAGCTGTGTAGCTCTGCAGCACCTGGGTAAAGTCGCTGGGCACTGTGGGGAGAGGCAGTGTCATTAGGGCTTGTGGTGGGTCAGAGGCCGGAAGCCACCCCACTCCATGCTCACACCCAGGGTGGACTCTGGGCCTGGCCCCTTCACCTGTCTCAGGGCTGCAGAGGCTGGCCACAAGCTCTGGGGAGCCTTTGACGTAGGCCTCAGGCTGGGTGGCCCCTGGCCATGCCACCACTACGTCCATCCGCTGCAGGGCAGAGGAGAAGGGGAATCGGCAGAGGACACTGACTGGCTCCAGTGGCTCCGCCTACAGGTGGAAGAAGAGGTTTGGGGCTGGCTGAGGAGCCCACTCCCGAGGCCGAGGCCCAGTCACCCCGCAGCTCACCGTTCCCTGCTGCTGGGCCACCCTGGGTGGGGGTCTCATTACTGCCAAGACCTGGGTCCCGGGTGCTGAGTCTGCAGCTGGGCCCTCCTCCAGCACCTGTGTTGGGGGGCAAACAAAGGTTAGGAGTCAGAACCTTGGCAAATGGGCAGCAGGACTATACACGTGGAAGACCTCATGACTGGAGGGTTATGGGTAACATGGACTTTGGATCTGTGCAGACTTAACTCCACACTCTGGCTGTCCCACTGAGGGATGCTGGGTAATAATCTTGGGGAAGTTACTGCTAGCTCCAGGGAGCAGGTTTCAAGCTTGTGCTAAGGCCACAGTAGTAGTGGAGGAAAAAAGGTGTACACAGTGGTGTGCCAGCAAACAGCAAACGCTCAACACAAGGCTCTGCCATGACTGACAGTGACGCCGGCGTGATAGAGACCGCTAGGGGCCCAGTGGTTGACAGAGACCATTACAAGGTAACATTCCCTAGTCCTAGCTGGCCTGAGGCAGGGGTCTGGCCTGCTTGGCCTCCTCACCCAGCCCGTAGACTCCACCATCTTGAGATCCATGGGGTCGCCCACCGGGGTGTCATGTAGCTGGCTGAGGGCATGACAGGTGGCCAGTGCTCGGAGAAGGGGCCCCACGGGCAGGTGGCGGGGCTCTGGGACCAGTGGTAGCAACACCTGCCCCGTCAGGGGCACTACCCCCATTACGTCCAAGCCGTCCTCCGTGAGGGTGCCTGTCTGCAGGGGGACAGTGCCAAGTCCTTGGTTGAGTCAGGCCTCGCTGAGCCAGCCCCCACGCCCAGGCAAGTGCGGAGGCCTGCTCTGACCGTGTCCAGCCGTCGCCAACCTCCACACCCCTCCTGGCGCCTGACCGTCTTCCCTCTCCTCGGTTCACTGCCCCAGCCCCAATGGTCAACACAAGCCTCTGCTCCTCAGGCGCTGCACAACTGGGTTTCCCTGCCTCCACCACTGCTCAGTGTGTCCCGGGGTCACCGTGTCCTTACAGAACCACACACCCTCGTTCCCCCCAACTCCACACGGGAGTGCCTAGAAGGAGAAACTGACCTAACCCATCAGTGCAGCTCTGGGCTAATAGCCACTGTCCACACAGGGCTGTGCTGGGCGGCCACTTCACCCCCACCCACCCACACGCGTACACCAGTGCCCATGTGCTGGTCCCTACTGGACTGCAGGACCATGTGCTTGCGCAGCAGGCCCGCAATGGTTCATCTTATCTGCCAGGCATGAGCTGGCGCGGGTAGGAGTTGGCCGTGGAGGGTGGCCCATGAGCGTTCCCACTCCTGGGTGGGGCGCTGGGTACAGCAGACAGCTGCTGAAGTGCCCAGCCCCCC